TTTCGATACAGGAAACCAAGCTTTTGCTTCAGTTTATGTGTAAGCTTGTTAACATGATATTTAAAAGTGCATTTGTCTTCTAGCCATATGCCAAGGTATTTGTACTCACTAACTCTTTCAATGTTAGATCCCTTCAGGCTTGTGATTTTAAGTGTTAAAATCAATGTTAGAGGCTCTGGTAAACAGCATAAATGTAGTTTTCTCAACATTTAAGACTAGTTTATGATTGTAAAAAGCCAATTGTAGGGCATTAAAAGAATGCTGCAGTTTTTCCACTGCAGCACCAATATAGTCAAGATGGTGATCATCAGCATGTAAATGTACTTTGCATATGACAACTGAGGTGGCGATATCATTAATATAGACATTAAACAATATTGGTCTGAGGAGCGAACCTTGAGGGACTCCCTTAGTTACTGGTAGTAGCTCTGATTTTAGTAGCTTTGTCCCAAGGCCACACATTGCTGTCTATCGGAGATCATTTCTAGTCCATCCCTGTGGTCAAAAACAATATTTTGTAGACTTTTTAAAATAGGGAATAATCAACGGCTTTAGAGCTTTTAGTCAAAGAAAATTACTGAACAATACTTCTTTCTATTGATGACACTTATCGTCTAAGATGAGAGCAGCAGCAGAGATTGTGCTATGCTTTTCTCTAAACCAGATTGGGTTGACAAGAAATGTCAAGACATGGAGAAATGTCTTAAGTTGATCATTCACTAAAGTTTCTAAGACTTTGGCTATGCATGACAATTTTGAGATGGGTCTATCTATATTAAGATCTGAGGCATTATCTCCTTTGTGAAATGGAATTACATGTGCTGTTTTCCAGATGGGAATAAAATAGATAGATTAAAATATATGTAATGTGTTCTGAAATAATCACAAGCCTCAGAAAAACTGAACTATCCTCTCCTGTACTTTTTTTAGTGTTGCTGGTGTTAAGGGCTTTAGCTACTATACAAGAAGAGAAGGGTAAATTGTGCCTGTCTCACATCAGAGGGTGTATCAATTTCACTGAGAGGTGCTTCCATATTACTATTATCAAATAATTGTCCAGCAGCTGCAAAGTGACTATTAAGTGCTTAGCAGAGCTCGCTCTGATCAGAAATCTGTTGATCATCAATAACAATATGAGTTGGAATAGGCATTGATTTGTTTTTGAGCAAATGAACTGTCTTCCAGAATTTGAAGAAGTTTGAAGATGAATTTGAAAATATCTAAAGGGAAAAAAAAATCTGCTTTAGATTTTATGATGTAGGAAGTACATTTATTCAATAGCTGCATGAAATTAAGCCATTGGTCTCTGTCGCCCTTCTTCTTGTGAGGGCCCATGAGTAGAGAGGCAGAAACCCATGTCTGTAAAGAAGGAGTCTGTCCTGCATGAACACCCTGTGTGCATTTTAAGCCAATGTGCATACTTGTGGTGTTACCTGTATTGCATTTCATAATGAAACACTGTTTTACTGACCATTATTTTGTAGGTATAGCTGGATTAATGAGGGAAGTCCTAAAATCACATGCCATATGCTAAGAAGAGAGTAAGTAATTCAGTAAGAATAAATTCAGCATGGTAAGAATCAGCATAATCTGTGTTATATATCAAAGTATTAAATAAATTGCATTTTGCATGTGGTCCATTGCGTATTTTTTTTTTATTGCAAGAAAACATTTAACTACTGAGCTCACTGCGATAGGTCTTATATACGTCAATTTTTTTCCTCCACAAGTCAGACTGCATTTAGCCTGCAATGTGGGCTCAATAAGTCCTTGAAAATCACAAAAGGCATGATGAGGCTCTGCAAACTGAGTAGAATTTTTTGTAAATATGTAATATGTGTATATCATATATTGTTTTGCACTAATTGCACACCAACAAAGGCACATTAATCATGACTTTGTCTCCCTCTGCCTGCAAAGAGACATTATGTCATTTGCTGTGAGCATTTGGCAGTGAAGGATTTGACCAAAGAAACTAAGGTTAACCTCAACCTCAATAGAATGTGGATTTTAAGGAAAATGGGGATCAGGATGTAAGGTTAAAACAAATGTGTCATCCCAGTGAATAAACAAACCAACCAATTAAACATGAAAAATAAAATCGACAGACCTACATAAGAAAACTTTGTACCCTCAACATTATCATATTTTATAAAGGTAAATTAACGAATTAACTTTCTGTATGAGTGTTTAACAGATGCAATATACATTGCATTAATCTGTATTGATCTATTCAATGTATGAATATTCACATATACATATATCAATATGTATTGTGATGTAACAAATTATCCCTGGGCCTGTATGCAAAGCTTTTGGACCTAATACAACAATCGTGAGACAAGCCTAGAAAGACCAGCCATAGTAACACAAAATCAGCACAGTGGCAAAGTCATTATCATAATGGTTTATAGATTTTACTGCATGATAGTGCAAACATCACTGAAATGTCACTGTAATTGACTAAAACAATTTATGAAATGTCTTTGTTTAATGTGTTTGGTTTACCTTACAGAAAAATCCAGAGCTTTTTTATCTGTTTTGGCTTGGATATGGGTAAAAACTAGAACGTTGTAGATAAAAACTACAACGTGTATATATATTGCAGTCTTGCAAGTATGTTTTTTACCATGTTCCAAACTTCCTTTGACAGTTTTATGACTTGTAGACAATCGTTCTAAGCCTGTAGATCTACCAGAAAATGTGTATGGTGCATGAAACGTTTAACTAGTATTTTGTTTGATAATAGCCATGAACTGTGGAATGTGGAACTGTTGGATTCTGGAATGTTTTGGTATTTTCATTGTTTTATTCTTCCATTTTCATTGGTTTTCATAGTTTATATCACCATACTTTTCTGCATGGCGCACCTATAAACTCGATTCCACGTCGCTTCTGGGACACTCAGCCATGCTGCTCGAGCAGTCTGTGTGAATGCTCTAAGCTCGTGACATGGGCTCCAAAAAGAAGAGCAAGACGAGGTGAAGTGGGGCTTGGGAACTGCACTGCAGAACCGGAGGCTATTATGCACTGAAAACACAAGAAGCCAAAGCAATTCACAGGCCCCTCAAAGCATGGGCCTATATGCAAGTGCATACTTTGCATATTCATTCACTACACCACCAAATGTTAAAGCACAGTTACATTATATTTGTTTCACTTAAAAAATAGAAAAAAAAGGTAAAAGTTTGTATATCCTTCCAGTTGCAATGTCTCAGAACTAGTTCGGCCTTAATTGACACTTTAGGGCTGGTTATTTAGGTCAAGAATTGCCTATAGAAATTGTCAACTAATGACAGTTGCAGTGTGTAATAAATTATCTGACTCTTCCAGCTGTGTGCTAACACTCAACAACCATGGACTCCTCTAAAAGGCTAGATGAGGCCCTGAAAGTGAAGCTAATTGACCTCTACAAAGCAGGGTAAGGCTATAAAAAGATATCCGCCTGTATGCTTGCCAGAAAGGCAAAGCAAACCTCCGTAGGACAGTAAAGGGCCTGCAGAAAGGTTCAGCTGACACAAGCAGGGTGGTGCACTATTCTACTGTACAGTGTTGCTTGCATGGAAAAGCCATCACAAGGAAACCTTACCAGCGGCTTCCTCATAAAGTCAAAGTCTGAATTATGCAAAACATGTAAAAATTGAACTCATGAGCTAAAATCATCAAAGTTATGTTTGCAGAAAAAAGAGCAGCATTTGAGGAAAAGAACACCTTGTGAACTATTAATCATTGAAGTGGATCTACAACCCTGTTTTCAAAAAAGTTGGGACGCTGTGCAAAATGTGAATAATAACAGAATGCAATGATGTGCAAATCATTTAAACCCTATATTTAATTGAAAACAGTAAAAAAGCACCTGGATTCTTACTTCGGAGTCATTCTGTTGTCATACGTGCAGAATGTGGTTTGGCATTGTCTTGCTAAAAAAAAAAGGCGTTCCCTGAAAAAGATGATGTCTGGATGGCAGCACATGTTGCTCCAAAACCTGTATATATCGTTCAGCCTTAATGGTGACTTCACAGATGTGCAAGTCACCCATGCTATGTGCTCCCCTATACTATTATGAATGCTGGCTTTTGAACTGTGTGCTGATAATAAGCCAGATGGTCCCTCTTTGCGGCATCCATGATTTCCATGACTTAAATGAGCTCAGGCGGTGGCATTTCTGGATCTTGTTTGTATATGGTTTCTTCTTTGCATGGTAGAGTTTTAACTTGTATTTTTGGAGGCAGCGACTAACTGTGTTGACAGACAGTCAAAGTGTTTCTGGGCCCATGCAGTGATTTCCACTACAGAATCGTGTTTGTTTTTAATGCAGTGCCATCTGAGGACACGAGGATCACGGCCTTGATATTATCATCAGGAGCACAGACTTAAGCAAAAAACGAAAAATTTCCTGTATTTCAGAGATGTTATTTATATAGGCATATAAATCTATGTAATATGTAACATAGCTTATTTAATGTTTTCTGACTTTTTTCATCAATGACCTCAACTGTTTCAACCATTTGTTCATTTTAGATTTAGTAATGTAAATTAGTGCATATGTTAAAAGTCTCTTCATTATTATTATATAAAAATATTATAACAAATCTCTTATATTTTAGGAGCCATTCATGCAAAAGTCCAGGTAGAGTTCAGAAAGTATGCAGCAGAGAACATGTTCAATAACAAAAGGTTAATTTAAAGTGGACTGAGGAGGTATAAACTCACTTGGTGAGCTGTTCAGTGCTGTATCCTCAGAGATTTTTCTAACATCATCATTTGTAAACATATGTCAGACTCCGTACAGACAAATATCTGTATATAAGTAAGAACACCAGGTGTAGAAATTTGCTGGCTAAGGAACGGACAACACCACTCCGGACATTTTAAGTCACATAAAGATGTTTGACTCTGATTTTGGATTCTGACTTCTGATTTTTCTTCTAAGAAATGACACTTTCAAGACTTTTTAAAACTCTGACATTTGCTTTTGAATTCAAAAGTACTGAGAAGAAATGATGGAAAATTCTTCTACAGAGTTCATGTTTGTGCTTCGTGGACTGAATGACTCAAGGACAAACAAGCACATTTACTTTGCGTTTGGTCTTGTTGTTTATATTGTGACTCTGTTTGTGAATCTGACTCTGATTATCACAATCATTCTGGAAAAAATGCTTCATGAACCCATGTACCTGTTTATATGCAATTTGTATGTAAATGGACTATGTGGTGCTTCTGCTTTCTATCCAAAGATTCTTGCTGATCTTTTTACAGACTCTTATGTTATCTCATACAGAGGGTGCCTCTTACAAATAGTCATGGTTTTCTGGTACGCTTTCTGTGAATTCACATGTCTCACAGTCATGGCATATGACAGATATGTAGCCATTTGTAAACCTTTGGATTATCACAGCATCATGACACCCCAGAAGGTGGTAAATTTGCTGGTTTTTACCTGGTTCTTCTCCTTTCTAGAAACAATTATTGGGGTTGCACTGGCAGCTCGACTACCTCTGTGTGGTAACGTCATTGAGAAGACCTACTGCTTTAACTGGGATGTTGTTAAGCTTTCCTGCATAGATGTCACTCTGAACAATGTCTATGGGTATATTCTAATATTTTCTCACTTTTCCCAATCTGTATTTATCACTGTCTCATATTTTTGCATTATCAGGGCTTCTCTGCGTTCTAAGACAGAGCGGGTTAAATTCATGCAGACTTGTCTGCCTCATTTAATCACCCTCATTAATTACATTATTTCTTTGCTGTCTGATGCTTTGTGTGCTCGCTATGGACAAGGTCAGGGACTGCAGTCTCTGCGTAACATCTTGGGAATGGAGTTTCTTGTTGTGCCTCCTCTCCTAAACCCAATCATATATGGAATAAGGATGGCACAGTTTCGCAGCCGGTTTGTAAAAATGTACAGCCATAAAATTAATTTTCTTACATCAGTAGCACACCAAGGGTAGAACCTGTGGATTTTTATTTTTTTACAAAGTTTTTAAAAAGAATTTATGAAGTGTGTATAGAGATGCTGAACTCTGAAACTACCATTATAAGACTACAAGTTGTGCTGCATCACAAATGACCTAATGAATAATTCTAAGGTTGTTCATTTTAAATGTGTAAAAAAATGTGTAATTATGCTTTAAGAAATAAAGAGTTGCAGATTAATTTTGTGTTCTTAGAAATTCACATGTGCATGTTAACCAGAGGGTGCTGAACTTTTGCAAGCCACTATATGAACATGAAATAAATGTTGACCAAAAAATGATGTATTGTAAATAATGTATCTGGTTGATTCTCCAAGTGACATTAATTAATACATCCTCTACAAAGATCTGTAGACTTGAATATGACACACGCTCACTGAGTTTAACATATTGAAAAAAAGAATCTAAAAAACGTGCAATGGCTGGCTTGGTGGCACAGTGGGTAGTACTGGTGCCCCTCAGAGCCAGAAGTGCCTGGGTTTGATTCCCTAGCTGAGTGAAAGGTTCTTTCTGTGTGGAGATTGCGTGTTCTCCCCGTGTCTGCATGGGTTTCCTTTCACAGTCCAAAGACATGCAGCTAGGCGAACTGCAGATGCTAAACAGCCCTTAGATGTGAATGTATATGTCTGTGTGTCTGCCCCGCGTATGGACTGGCGACCTGTCCAGGGTGTTTCCTGCCTTTCGCCCAATGACTGCTGGGATAGGCTCCAGAGATCCAGAAGGATAAGCGGCCTAGATAGTGTGTGTGTGTGTGTGTAAAATATGCCATAACTTTTGCACAGACCACACATTGTTTTATTTTTTCCAACATGTTAAATTCAGTGGAAAAACAGTAAGAGTGCATTCAAACGTGCAGAAGTGTGTTCTCTGTAGAGGGTTATTGACCTACTTTCACCTGGAAAATTAACAAAACAGGACATTTAAACAGGGGTGCCCACGACTGTATAGTTATTTTAATACTGGTAGCTGTTGTTCACCGTTTTGTGCACATATCAAGAAATAAGAAGTTAAATTTCAATGCTGTCTTTCCAAAGCTCCTTTCTAAATTGTCATAAGAATGGCTAGACAGGAATGATTTGGTTATGAAACTGCTCCTCAAGTGCGCTGTTATATCTCTTTCTTTGAGAAATCCATTACATCAATTTGCTAAAGCAAACTTTTATTGGTACAAGAAAACAAATGCAATGCATGAAATATAGCTTCAGTATCACCACAAATAAATATTAGATTTACACACAATAATACTGTAAAGAAAATATTCTTCCTTTGGTTTTCAAAACTCATTTATCTAAAATATATTCTGTTCTCTTTGCACTACTTTATATACCAACATTAAGCGCTTTCTTTCATAACCTCTTCTCAAAATCCAGGTCATGTCCTACCTGACTTAAGTTATACATGGTGTAATGTTAAGAACATACAAAATAAATATTTCACCATCTCCTGCTAACAATGATAAATCACACGGTCTAAAACAAAAAATACAATGAACACCTGCATTGCTGCAGGAGTTAATTTAATAAGAAAAGAGCAGCATGTTTTCCTTTGTAATGAACGACTGTGCAAGCCACTTGTACACAGGCACACAAAACCACAAATCAACCAAGATTCACAGAACACCACATACAAAAGAGATTGCTTAAATATTTGGATAAATAAATGGATGGAGTAGCTGCGCAGCTGTAAAGGAGGTGTCTCCTCATCACAAGTAGCAACTGTTATACCCAGCAGGAGAAAAGCAAAGCAGCGTTCTCTAACAAGAAAACTTAAATTTCAACAGCAGCCTTGACTGCAGCATCCATTTTTGGTTTCTTCCCCTGTTCTGAATTGTTAGCAAAGTGGTTCTGACTAAATAGTTAATTTCCATTGTTGCCTCTATGTAAAAAAAAAAACCCTACTTTGACTTTGGAACAGTGAATTAAATTTGTGACAATACACAACTGCCCCTAGTCTTTAAGTAGTAACAATCATGTAGTATTTACTGTTAACTTCTACTCTGCAATGACTACGATTCTGTGCACCACTGACACCACACTGTGCGTTCCAAGTAAACAATGAATTTTTATTAGAGCGCTGATGTACTTCTGTTTAGTTTTATAGGTAAATGTGGGAGTGGAGAAGTATTATGTTATTTATATACTTACTTCTTGACTTATTATGCACACATGAATTTAAGTAAATGTAATCAAACCAACTTAGATGGCAAAATAAGATCAATATGATATAATTAACGCATTCAAAATCTACACTTTGAATTTATTAACTAAAAATTTAAATCAGCAAGAAATACATTTCTTGCAGTAGAAAACAACCCTTTCGTCCACTACTATACACAGATTTGCTTTATCTGTGCAGTGTTTGATGGCTTTCTCAAGTGCACCATGTTCCCCTGACAGAAGTTTTCACACAGCTCAAGCATTGTTTAGCACAGCGTTTGTCCATTCTGGTCCTTGAGTGCCCCTGCCCTGCACATTTTTGTAATTTCTCTCTAATTCTAAACCTTAATCTAATGTACAAGCCTAGCTTCTAGCTTTGAACTGGGTGTTACAGGAGGGGAAATAAGGGAAATATTAAATTGTACAGGGCAGTGGTGGTTCAGGACAAACACTGAGGTCTACTGCTCTAGTACATTTCAACACATAACGTGGTTCTGTGATAACAAGCTGTCCAGACCATTAAACAGCCAAGCAGCATTTAACTGTAATGCCACCCCATCAGGCTTTACAGCTGACATTCTGCCAGTCTGGAATTGTGCTCAGAACAACCCTTGACTGGCCTATCCACTGCACAACACTCAAGAATGCTTAACACTCTAGAGACTTAAATTTCTCAATCACTTCTGAGCAGACATTTCTGCATTAATGAATTAAAAGAAAGTCAATATTAAATAACACTGAGCAACGCTAAATCCTTTGGGTATTTTTGAAATAACTGCCATCATTTCCTCCCTTTCAGGGATGCACACAAAAGCTACTTGAGTGCAAATAGCTCTCTTTTGTGCAGAATCTTCATGCTCATCACTACTTTGGCTCACAAAAAACATGACAGTTTCCGGTGCTCTGGAATTCAGCTAAAGATAGCAGTGGAAACTATGAAGTATTCTATTTTCAGAATTTTATAACTTATCTAAACTACTGGGACACTTAAGCTCTACAGAAAATGCTCAGAATTGATCTCAGGTAGGCCATATCACAATCTAGGAAACCTACAGCAGATACAATGAGAAATCTGCTGTAGAGTACTCTAATGGCTCAATAATGCCCTAACAATGCTTAGTCAATAACAGGAGAAGAGAATAAACATCACATGTAAATATTACTTTGTATTATCCTCCTTCTTCTATACAAATTTGTCAGATATTTTTACCAAGGATAACCATCAGGTTACATGCTGATAGACAACTTTGTGAAAAGTCTTTCAAATGGTTCTTGCATATTAAGACATGCCTGGAGATCTTCTGATGCTAGCCAGAATTTCTTGGCAGAAAATAATGTGAAAGGAAGTGAAAAGAACATCATAGCAAATATTCTCATGGACTGTCGAATTGGCAGTGAGCTCTGATCCACTGATCCATTCTTTCTCTTATCACATCCATAAGGGCACAGATCATAACACAAGATGGGACATTCCACACTGTGGAAAATGATCAATTAATCAATCTCCTCATAACTAACCAAAACCAAAAACATCACGGAGAGGAATAAAAAGTTGCTGCTTATTTTGATTGACCAGACACTCTATGCCACTGTAATACTCATAATACATAAACAACAAAGGCAGAACCAAGCATGCTTATTTACTCTGCACTGATCTGCATCTTAAGAACTTTGCAGCAATGGACATCATTTCACAGTGAGAAATAACATTCAAATTGTTGAAGTCTATTAGAATGAAGCATGTCCACAAGGACAACAATCTTTGTAAGTAAGACACTTCTACACTGATCTGCGAATCAGATTATTTTTCTCAGGTTCCAGAAACTCCTCCACCAGAGCAGAGGTCACTTTCTTTAACTCCTCTTCAAGATTGGAGATATCACTGTAAAGCAAACAAAATGTTATTTTCAATTCTTTTTAAGCATTCTTTCACAAGACAGTCTAGAATTGATTTCTTTTCAGAAATGCAAACACATGCCCTCCTGATTGCTCCCTGAAACAAGGTCTGGGCAGCCAATCAGCAAACAAGAACATGACCTGAAATTAATTTAGTTTTTTTTCAATCATGACCCACTATTACCTAAAAACACCCTATAACAGATATTACAATAAATAAATAATAGATAAAATAATATTCAGTTAGTGAGGAGGCCACAATTAATATATCTGGCACATTGTTTCCTGTGGTCAACCTGCAGGGTCCTCTACTGAAGGTTCAGCTCCTGAAGGCCTAAGCAAGAAGAGTGTTCATCACAGGAAATAATGTGCCAGATTAACCCGACGTGCCAGATTAATCACCAACATAACTTGGAACTGATGATGGAATCAACCAATCACATGTTGTTTTCTAATGAGTAGGACCAATTTTGTGAGGAAAAAAAAAAAGAAAAACAGTTATTCCAGGGCTTCTGGAAGTCCTAGATAAATCACTAACTGTAAATACAAGTGGTAGCCTGACGAATGCATTTCACTTAAATGTTAGAAATTAAAAACAGTGGCAGCTCTAGGCCTCCCTCTAGTCAGGGAGTCACTGTAAAACTGCTGAAAAGGTAAAATATATGTTAATGTCCACTACAAGCTTCAAATAACAAAGAGCATGTCTTTTGCAATCTTTAATTGTCTGCTTTTAGTCTAAAATAAGGTGTGAAATCTTAACACTTCTGGAATTTAGCTCTCGATTTGCAAATGTAGGACTTGCATGACATACATACATATACAAATACTGATCCCCCCCCAATGCTAACAAGTATGAACTGTAAATTTCACAGCAGCATGTTTTAACATTCAATATGTTTCATACATTTCAGTATGTAGAAAATACAACACACAGAATAAACTACAGCTTTGTGCTCTAAACTTATATTCCTAAACCTAATTTATTCAAGCTACAAATCTCAAAAGTGTAATAGGGTTATATTTTTAAAATACAGTGACTACTACAGTAATCCATAACAAAAAGGTCAATGATAGGATTACAAGTAGATATGAAAAATTAAATAAGGTAACTATTTAGAAGATGGAATATATTTTAATAGAATATTGTGCCTAACATGACACTTCCTTTACTTAAATTAGGACCACAACAGTTAAGGAATTAGACGACAAAGTGTTAGAATGCCCTCAGGACATGGACAAAGCATCCTCTTTTTGCAAAAAGTCACGAGTAAACATGGAAGGTGGCTGAATCTGTGTATACAAGATTTATCAGCATATCTGCAGGTATCATCAAATCGAATGCACTTCAAGTCATTTTTAATGTAATCTTAAGAAATCTATAATGCACCTTTAAGCTTCTCCTGGCCATGCATATGATTTACTGCAGTAACACTGCTGTATATTTTTAGTGTAAATGTAGCCTGTGTACCCCTGCTACAATAACTACAAATTTTCCCTAACAGAATTTCAGTTCTAACTGGGAATTTCAGTGTATTGCTCTTCAAATTGCAAACTAATTACTAAGCCGGTTTACCATAACATACATTTCAATAAATTGTTATTATTTTTCTAATCGAGTATTCGATTTTAATTATGTAACCATGACCGGCCTCATGTTTTCACCCTGAAATTTTTTAAAGTCAGTCTATATCTGATTTTGTTCCCTGAATATTTGGCTGTAAGGAGAAAAACTGATTTCAAATTGCCCTTCGTATGTAGTTACCATTCTGGTTAAAATGGTCTTTTGATGTGGAGAGAATGAGCCTGGGAGTTCCTAATCCTGGTCCTAGAGTATCCCAGTTCTGCACATTTTAGTGTTGCTCCTGCTCCAACACCCACTTCAACTTACTAGCTTATTAGCTGGACCATTAGAGCAGAGAGAGAACAACAAAATATGCAGGACCAGGGTTGGGAACCACTGCGCTACACAACCCCTTTGAGGACCCGTGAAACACAAACCTCTTTCCAGGTGGTGCACAGAACTCCGTGTAGTATTTGATTTTGGGCTCTGTCCCACTAGTCCTAAGAGTGGCAACAATGCCATTGTGAAATGTGAATGTGATCATCTGGCTGCTTTTGGACACTGGGAGAACCTAAATAAAAAAGATACACAAATGTTCCTGATTACTCGACCACACACTGTATCTGCTGAAGTTCAGCTGTGTCAGTAGAGAAGATACATACAGATTTTTTGTTAGGCTGACCGCTGTCGTAACCTGTAGTCACATCTCTGATGTGTGCAATGCTGTATCCTCCACATGTCTTTGGGTAAACGCCCTCGCCTTCGAAGTTGCGCAAGCGGCTGAATATTCTCTTGACAGTGGGAGGGTCATTGCAGACAACATAGGAGGTTCTGGAAATGTGGTAGCCATAACTAGAGAAAAGCAGTGAAACAGGTGCAGACTGACATCACATAGAAAGCAACATCCACACAGACTCAGCCCAATACAGTCAATCTTAAAAATCCTCAAACCAACATTTGCATGCTTGTATTTACAATGACCAACTAGCATTCTGTAAGGTTAAAAAAGCAAGTATTTATCACCATTCCGACCAGGCAAACTATGCACCACTTTACCAAGCTTTGCCAAGCTTTGATATTCTGTAGGCTTCTTACTATGCTAACACTTCAGGAACCTTAAACCTGGACCATAGGATCCCACTTTTGGTTCAGAAATTATGCACAATTATGAGTGTACTTAAGCTAACTATATTCCAACTATATGTGTAAGTTGAGTCTGACTTTTTGCTGTAATTCTCTTTTTCCACCCAAATCATAATCGTCATCATCAAAAAAATATCCCTCCCACTAAATTGGTTGCTATAGAAATGCCTCTGGACTACAGTATACATAACCTGACAGCCCCTTTCATCACCTCACAGCACCATACAGCAATAATTAACTATTCTAAACTCTCAAATGTCTAGGAATTTTCACCCATCTGCTGCTTTTTCATGAGAGACCCACTGATTACAGCAAGATGGTTGCAGTTTTTGCATGAAAACAAGTGAAAATTGCAAAAACCCCAGAGGCATTATTGATATATGCAGGTGGACTGTGACGAACAGGTTCATGTGTGTGAAGATGGCAAGAAGCAGATTAGTAAAACAGGAAGAATGAGAAGCAACACTCACGTTTCATAGATGTTTTGAAGTTGTTGGTTAAGAGTTACATTTTTGGTATGTAAATATGCTGCCATCTCAGCGACAACAGCAGCAGCACTAACTCCATCCTTGTCAAGCACCATGCTTCCACACAGAAATCCTGACCATACAGGACATGGGTGAAAAACCACAGACCAAACTGACCACTGCAACTGATGACTAGTCAATGACAATTTTGACCAATAACCTTAATAACATTAATGACTGCCTGCAGATTTTGGCCTGTTTAGATACAACACTTGTACCAATACTTTAATTCAAAGTCTGCTTTTATGCAAAAAAAAAAAAACTGCCTCCAATATGCTAGTCAAATAGACTCATTTAGTCAAATAAAACAGACACTGTCCACAGAAGTCATATCTCTCATTCAATTTTCAGATGTTTCAGGATTTTGCCACTATGTAATCTTTAACCCTTTTATTCCCTAAAATCCATCACACTTGTGGATTAAGAGTGCATGATCTCTGACCTGTTTTTTTGTTTGTTTTTTTTAATAAAGCAGAATAGGTTGAATGGGTAAATACAAATCCAAAGTCAGGTCAAACACTGTAAAATCAGATATTATAAAATATAAAAAAAGTTTATCTTTGTGTTTAAGACTAAAAACAAGGGGAGATGAAAAGAAAAAGGGGAAAGGGGATAACACTTTACAACTATTTTAAATGCAAAATGAAATCTGAAAATGCTGCAATATAATCATATGTTTATATTCCAAGCACAGTGAGTGTATTTAACATTACTAAAAAGAAAATATGCACACATACACCACCAGCTAAAAGGTTTGGACACACCTAACTGAATATCCATTTGTCATGATCTTAAAGGAAATCTGATTCAAAGGTTTAAATGTCTTTCTAATGTCTGTCTTATGCATAAGCAGTGAAGTTGATTCCTACATGTGAAGTTATTATCAACACACACATTTTTCATTTTTACATTTCTAATTGCTGTTCAAAAACAGCCCTCAAGCATCTCATGAAGACACTTGAGAGAATGACCAATTCCTAAAACAATCTAAAAGGGAAAATGGATTTGAATGGAATTGTTTTTGCATTATGACATGTGTTATTTCATAGTTTTGATGTCTTCACTATTATTTTAAAACACGGAAAACAGTGAACATGAATCTGTTTTACAAGGCTTGTCCAAGCTTTTAATCAGTAGTCAGGTTTTTTTTTAGAACATATTAGAAGCCACATGCCATATGCCACAGTCACACGCCAAGTATAACAACAATTACCCCCCACATATTCATAAGCATTACTACTCAATTAACAAAACAATCAAAATCAAATGAGCCACAGATTTATGCAAAATCATCTTAAACTCATGTCTTTGTTCACTTTTGTGCTCTGAGCGATAGTTCTGTCACATACTAGGCTACAGAACTTGCATGTTTCTAAGATGAACATGCTGTAATGCCAGCTTTTGCCACTAGATGGGAAGTGTTGTCATTATTACTGTCATCTGGCAGTATCTTTATGATCACCAAAATCAATGCAAACCAGAGAGGTTTTAAGGGCATCAGTCCTGAACATTCAGTATGATAGGGCTGCAATGATTACTTGGCATCTTCCATGTTATTGTTTTAAACAATACATACTGATTAGGACTTAGAAAAATTCTAAATGTTTTGAGGGAACTGTGTGACGTGTTGTTTAAATGTTTAACACTGATGACAATGTGTTACATTCTGAAAGTCACTACTAAAAGTTTAGATTTCTCTCATAATTTCAGTTAAAGACCAAGCTGATAAACAGTAAAGACATTATATAGACATTTTTTGGCTCATCTTTGTCAAAGATGCAAATAATTCTGAAAACCACCACGGATTAACTTAAAAACAGAATTAACAGACAGATAATTGTTGATTCCTGAAATAAGTCAAAAGTTTTACTTACCAATGGACTCTTCAAAGGAAAAAATGACCTCCTTTCCTGTTTTTGTTAACTCATGGATTTTATTTCCAATCCATTTGAAGCCAGGTAGTGTTTCCTGAGATGAGGAAACGTCAAACAGGACAAATGGAACAGGACACAGGCAGCCTTTCAATCAACAAGAACGCAAAGATTTAACAAGTATGAATCAAATCAACCAAGACTGATAAACTAAACGTTTTAGTGATTTCACTGTTGAACTGACTCACCGGTTACGTACATTGTTATACTACAAGTGATTTTAGATACACTTGTAATTACATGTCATTTGATGTAGGAGGTCATTTCAAATTTCCTGCACAATTGAATCATTAAGATATAATGTCATTCAGAGTGAAACTTACAGAGTCAGGATAGTTCACAGCGGTGGTAATAAGAACCAGACATCTGAAGCATTTAATGCTCCTAAAAGCCCCCTCAGAGAAAGATATCAAACAAAATGGATACAAATATGTCACCTGATATCTGAGAAATTGGCCTTTTCCACTGCAGGGCCGAACAGTTCTGCAGGGTAACCGTTCCAGTGGCGTTTCCACACTGACATGGTTTGACACGAAATGCCTAAAAACCAGGCTCAGCCCGTTTTTTTTTGTTTTTTTTTTACATGGTTAGCTAACCTTACTCAGGGCCACAGAACCGTTCGGTGGGATGATGTAACGACATAGCTGTCCGCTGATTGGTTCTATGTTTATACTGGCATTGTGCCACAGCATCCTGCTGCACTATTTTAAACCCGAAAGCGTTTAAATAAATTCAGTTTGCTCAAATAAATGAAAGTAGTGCACGATTTTAAATCCATCATTCAACACACATCAAAGCTTCAATCTAAAACCAATTTCTAAATGGTAAACGGTGCTGCCTAACCAGCTAGACGAGAGAGCTGGTTAACGTTAGCTTAGTTAGCATGCTGTCAGCGCTGCTCACTACAGAACAGATTAGATTCTGACTAACTAAAGCTTTACTGACACTAATTTAGATGATAATGACTCGTATCTAAGGAAGCAAAGTCTGATGTTAGAGGGAGAGAAAGCTGAAATTAACCTCTTCTCTGGTGTCTGAAGCTGGAGCCTCTTAGCTAAGCTAATGCTAGCCAGCTCTTCTCTCCTAGCTAACTTAGCTAAAGAGATCCAAAGACCACAGTGCACCTTCGATTCAACTAACTTAACTGCTCTTCTATCTATCAAGTAAAGATGATAAAAACTTAAAATAGCGAGAGCGAAAGTCAACTGATCGGTGTTGGAGTGACAGAAAGCCGAAATCGGACCTGCTAGGCTAAGCTAAAGTGAGTGTACGGTGCCTCCCACTGCAGTATTGGCTCAGTCCTAGCGAACAGATGCTTAAAAAACACCCGTTTAGAGGATAAAGACTCGTATCTGAGAGCACAAATTCAAATGACTGGCATTGAAGTGACAGATAAAAAAACTGAATTGTTCTGTGGCGCTTTGAGTTGTACCCTGCTGTGTGACGCTAATGCTAATGTAGCAAGTTATCCGGCTACAGGTGAAATCCACCACATTACAGTCTGTTTCAATATCTCATGCTCAAATACCACCTGTTTAGAGAAAGACAAGATAAGAGCATGATGAGAGAACAGCGTTGGAGTGACAGATGGTATCAAATGTGTTTGTGGTGGGTGGTGTGCATGTTGCTATTAGTCTGTTAGGAGTTAGCAATTCATTTGTGTAGTTTTCTTGGGTATTTCCTGGTTCTGATTTAGCGGTACAACAGATGGAAACAGAAACCATAACCAGTCTCACGAGTCCGGACCAGCGCATAATGGCCCAGTACAGCCCTGAGAACCATTTGGCCTGATAGTGAAAAAGCGATAAATCTGAGATACAATTTTGGCATAAAATGTGTTGTTTTTTTAATCCATTCATGGCAGATGAGGGAGCATAGCAGATCAGGGTAAGGCACCACTATTTTACCATTATCAACAGTACATTTAGAAACTCATACGACACATGTAGGCTCACAGGACATTTTGGACTATAAATAAAAGGGTTATATTTGCATTGTAGACATTATGGCTCCTGGTTCCTATTACCACCATTATAAAGAAATCTGGTCTGGTAAGTGTCTCTATAATGCAGCATTTCACATCAATGACCTAGTTATTTGTATCAATACGTTTTATAGTAAAAAAGCACTCGAGATTTTGTATGGAGCCTCAATCAGGGCATTGTACAGGTTGTTTTGTGTACATCAGATGTATTCCAAAGGTAAGACGTTTTTGATGCCTAAATTAGTGAAGTCTCCAATCACATACCAATGTCCAAGCTCTTAAGGTTTTAACTGACCTCAAAGTGGAAGCCCTCCATTTGTGCCAAAGCTTTGAGTATTTTGGAGGAGACTGTGGTGGCCAGCATGTACATTCTCTCGGTCTCTGCTGGGTCTGGGTGAGTCTCCTTCCAGTTAAACAGCATCCACCAGCCCAGCAATGCAGCCAGCTCATTCCCAGTAAACACTTTCCAACCACACCTGTCCACACAAAATATATAAGACTAAGCACAAGACTGTACCTACTCAAGAGCTCTAAACCAGATGATACAACACATTTAAATAACACATGGGGGAAATATGGGGGAAACATATGGGGGAAATAATATCAAGTCAGCTTACAAATCCTAAGTAAAATGTGCATATCAACAATTACCAATGAAAAGAATCTCATAAATATCTCATAATATCTTAACATTGCTTCCAAAGTTCATTCCAGGGCTCTGGCACCTGAATTTGAAAAAGCTTGTTTGAGTAAAAAAAGTTTATGAACTCTCCAGTTCAAAGATTTATTTACATATTGCTTATTTAGCACTAGGCAACTTGTATCTTAAAGAAACTTATACTGTGAGGGCCTGAGTACGCTTAATTTACTCCTCTATATTAATCAGTACTGCCAGATGTCACTAGTTGATGGGAGGGATAAAGACACTTTGAACCCAGACACACAGCCTGAGAAGGGTTATGTAAGTTCTTTACAGTTCTATACAGTACCTGCTGACTAAGTACCTGCTTTCTAGGTCAAAGTTGTTCTGTAATAACATGTCTTAATACACCTTTTTATGAACAAAGTCAATGTTTTTGGGTTCACTGAGCAACGTATTTTTGTAATATTTACACAGGGTGGTGAAACACAAACAGTGACCAAGTGCATAAACATTTGTCTTTAAATCAACACTATAAACATTTGTTAAATATTCTAGCGACAACCATCCTAAGTAATCTAATATTAGGTTAGATAAAAAAGGGAAATATGCCCTCCAGAAACAGATTCAGTGGTCCATTACCTGTTACGTTTTGTTTGAATATTAATTACATAAATTTTTGCTGCAATTATGAATTCATAGAATGTCTGTGAAAAGCCCTCTAACAGCACTCACCAAAAGAAAATTTTTAAAATTCATGTTAAATAAACATCATTATAATGTACTGCATGTTACTATGTGCATCCCTAAACAAATGACTGACCTGTCACGTTGCTCTGCAACAGCCAGTCGATCAGCATCAGGGTCTGTGGCCAGCACGATCCTGGCTTCCTCTCTCTCTGCAAGGCGAAGGGACAGCTCCTGGAAGAAGGAGTAGGAAAAAATATAACTTGACGTACGTCTTCAAAGATGGTGATAAGGTTGGTGATGTGGCATCAAAAATATACACTACCCTCTAATTTTTTTGGGAGAGTGTGCTCATATTGAATCTGTGCTGCATACATTGTCATGATAGGTGTTATTGGGAAGACATGTTGTACTGGAGTTATGTTCTTTTTTTCTTGGTTTCAATGATTGATTTTTGGTGTGTGTAAGAACTGTGATTGCTGTATGTATATCTCATTATATTCACTGAATGCCCAAGTTGCACTGACTGCACTGAATGTAATCTTGTCAATATATGTTTTCTTAGTTCTAGCCTTTGCTATTGTCAGCTGTACAGACAAAAATAAAACAAATTATTTTCAAGAACTTGCTGCCTTAAAATTCTGAGTTCAATGAACTTCAAATAAGTTAACAGAATGTAAGACACAGACTTTTGTTCTGTTAACTTAGTAATACTACGTCCAATTCTAATTTCCCTGACTTAAAAAAATAATAAAGAGTGGTGATGCAATATTCAAACACTGTTAAAGTTAACTCCTCAATCCACATATGGAAACTAAGCTATATAAACAGCCTGTCTTGTTCCTGTGGTATGACAGAAACCAACACATTTATCAGCAAACACAGCAGAGGAGCTAAAAGCATACAAATCACTAGAATCATGTAATTATTTCCTCTGTGGAAAAGTCAGTTTTTGTACTATCAACTACACCATCAAAAGCTGCTGTCACTGCTGTCAGTGCTTGTAGAGCCACTGTACAGTGGTACGTCAACAATACAGTGGCGCCGGCGATAAGTGTGACATGAACTGAATACCGTCTATAAACGGTTAAATTCAATCTAGACCGAATATCTTCTTGTCCTGCACAGTTTCAAGTATTTTCTACTCCAACACACCTAATCCAGCTCATGAATGACTTGATAATTACATGATAAGCAGAATCAGGAGTGTTTAGGCAAAAAATATTTGAAATTTTGCAGTGTCCACTGCTGCAGTTGAGAACAACTACTGTAATGCATAAAGAGCTTCAACCAAAGAGTCAAACATGCAAAAAACAGACTTGACAATTTCATTCCTGTTGAATTAATTATAAGATTTTATGTCCTCACCAGAACTGACTCTCCTTCTTCTGGGTTAGGGCAGCTGACAGTGGAGAAATTTGGATCTGGATTCATCTGCTCCGGCACAGGGATAGGAGGTGGAAAACCAAACGCCTGAAATGCCCGCTGGACATAAGAATGGCCAACTCCATGGAAGGATGTATGCACAAACGTCAAGGGAGACCTTGCATTGAGCTCTCTAGAATGAAAGAGTTACAACTCTATATGTAAAGATATATACAGTATGTGCACACTCTTTCAGCAGTTTTGTAAAAGTATACCTGTGGAAGCACACAGTATTCAGCTCCTCCATGTACCAGCGACAGACGTCCTCCAGTGGATCACTCCTCAGCGGGCTGCTCTCAACCAGGTCTTCATTCCAGGACTCAGCCCATGGCTCCGGATTCTCTTCTATACACCGCAGGATCTCCTTATCGTGTGGTGAAGAAATCTGAGCCCCGTTCTGCCAGTACACCTACAGGGAGGAACATTAACATATTATGAATCTATCACATTAGTACATACCTCTACTTGAAAATTAATTTACTTTGACTTTGAATTAAACATAGGCCAGCAACTACTGAATATTTTCACTGTTGAATATTCTGTTTAATATTATTCTGAATATTCAAATATTCTGTTTAATATTATTTTGAATATTCAAATATTCTGTAAGAATATCATATGCTTAAAAAATGTTTCACTTTAATAACTGATGGAAAAAATAGTGGTATGTTTTGTTAATAATTATCCCTATTAATATAAATTATTATTACAAATTGTAAATATTTTACTATTGTAAATATTTACTTTTTTGCACTACTGCAAACATTCTATTTCTTTATCTTGCTTTTTAATTGGACGTAGCTTTAATGCTACAAGGTAATGATAAAACATCACTGAAAATTAATCATCGTGCCCAATCTGGCAACCCTGAACAGGTTGCGGTCTCTGTTTGAACAGCAGAACATGCAGGAAAGCAGATAAAAGAGCATATTTTCAACACCTTAAGGTTCCATTATCTTAAGGAACTGTTTGGTTAGGTCTTTTCAGTGAACAGGGGAATGAGCAAGTTTTTACTCCGCTCAAAAACAACTTCATACCAGGAGATGAGCTTAGCTGCATTAATATCCAATGCTGTCTAAACAATTTCCCAACATTCTCAGTAAAAAATGAAACTGAGGACATGTTAGCTAGACAGTGTACAACAGCAGTACGAAACTCATTTAAACTACATTTGGAGATTTGGGACCGATACTGCCATCTTGCATTTTCAGAGTCTTGATAGTGTTGAATCACAATCTCCAGTGAGTTCGGCATGCAGAGCTGCCAACTGCATTCTACTGGTGATAACACTAACTTAGTATTTGGCGTGATAAACAAACATTACTTTTCCCCATAATAGTATGTTAGCAATCATCTCAGTTATTCAAATGGCTTTTCCATGTTGGAATATTAATTATCAAACTTATCAGACATCATAGAATATTTGTGGCAGCCCCAGTTAAAACACATGGACATGATGAGCTGTTCTTTAATGTCGTTATCCATGTGTTATACAGTCCAGAGTAAAGGATCATTCCTCACCTTGTATCCATTATCCTCTTTTCTGTTGTGAGAAGCAGTGATCATCACACCTGCAGCAGCTCCAATCTTCTTCACAGCATACGGCTACAGGACAAAGGAAACAAGTTACACCGAATTAAATATCCACCTCTAGGTAAAAGTCTCATGAGACACACAAAAGCAGAATAAAAAAAGATGTAGTGAGAAACATTTGTTTGAGAAAATTTCATAAATGATGTTATCACATTATCTTACCACAAATGGGGTAGGCACATAAGTAGAAAACAGATAAACAGGAACATCTTTACAAAGCATGACGGCTGCAGTCAACCTTGCAAGCCTGCATACACAAAGAAAAGTATCACATCAACCAAGAGAGATAAGCATAAACACTGCAATGAAGTAAATGAATCTGATGTCACACAGTTCACTATCAGTGTAAATAAGTGCTAAATACATTTTTGTTTGACAATTAAGCAGGATTAGCTATCATATCTCTGTTATCAGCTCATAACTTTTGCTGCTGAATATCCTTATCATGACGTGAGATGGAAATAATTAAGGAAACAAACACAATTTCAGTGTTAAGGAGAAAAAGAAAAAAAGGAAATCTTGCTTTCATGATGATTGCTATTTTATTTTTAGTAGTTATCAGATGGCCAACAATGCATGACAATATGACTATTATTGAAATGATTTTCATTATTCAGACTGACAAAAGTATTTGCTGTCAGTGGTTTATATCATCTTAAATGGAATTAAATTTATGCCACAGAGAACAGCTGTATGAGAGCTGAACTCTAACTATAACCTGACAGTAGTTTTATTTTTCAATTCAGTGTAAGACACCCACAGTTGTAGGAAGAGAGGACTATACTACCCTTAACTTCCAAAGAAGAAATGGTTAACTGTGCTCTTTGGAGGGAAAACAAAAAACAAACAAACAAACAAACAAAACAACAACAACATAAATAAAACAAAAATAGCATTTGTGCCTTTTCTGGAGTTGTATCTCCTACATGAACACTGACACTACTATTTGTGCCCTTTAGTATTTTCTGATATCCAACATTAAACTAGTCTATCAACATGGGGCCAGTAATTATTTATGTAACTTTTATTTCTGGGATGCTGCTTGACTTGTTTTTTCTTTTTTATTGTGGTAACTTTTTAAAGTTATCATAAAGCATAACAGTAGCTCTCACAACAGCAGCTTTTACAGAGTAGATAATAGAAGACATCTGCCATGCAAGCCTTATAAGTGTGAGCATGAGTGATAATACTCGAAAGGAAGAGGACCAAAGAAGCTCTGAGATCAAAGCCCACAGGCTCCACAACTGCAATATTCAATTTCATTTATAGCATTCCCAAAATACACAGCATTGTGCCCACTGTACAGATTGTTTCATTTAAAACCAATTGATAACATTTTTAAAGGGGAAGCATTCTAGCCAAAGTGCTTGATGCTAATAAGTTGGCATGTTAGGTTTCTATAGAGGAAGAACATAATCACGTGTCCCAAACTGGAACACTGCCAAAAGGCTAAAGCAGACCATGCAACATTTTAGTTAAGACAGGCTAGTCAGTTAAACAGCCATATTAACTCCTAGAAATTAGCTTAGCTTCAGCTCCACATTCATTGGGTGTGTAAAAACTCCATGTACAATCTAGCACTTTGTTAGGCATAATTTGATGAATATATACATCTGATGAATAAATATACACCCATCAGGCATAAAATTATGACCACCTCCTTGTTTCTAAGCTCACTGTCCATTTTATCAGCTCCACTTACTATATTGGTGCACTTTGTAGTTCTACAATTACAGACTGTAGTCCATCTGTTTCTCCCACGGACCCTCACAGAGCAGGTACTATTTGGGTGGTGTATGATTCTCAGCACTGCAGTAACACTGATGTAGTGATGGTGTGTTAGTGTGCGTTGCGCTGGTCTGAGTGAATCAGACACAGCAGTGCTGCTGGAGTTTTTAAATACCTCACTGTCACTGCTGGACTGAGAATAGTCCACCAACCAAAAGTATCCAGCCAACAGTGTCCTGTGGGCAGCGTCCTGTGGGCACTGATGAAGGACTAGAGGATTACCAACACAAACTGTGCAGCAGCAGATGAGCTATCGTCTCCAACTTTCACATCTACAAGGTGGACTGACCAGGTAGGAGTGTCTAATAAGAGTAGACAGTGAGTGGACACAGTGTTTAAAAACTCCAGCAGCACTGCTGTGTCTGATCCACTCAGACCAGCACAACACACACTAACACACCACCACTACATCAGTGTTACTGCAGTGCAGAGAATCATCCACCACCCAAATAGTACCTGCTCTGTGAGGGTCCATTAGGGGTCCTGACCACTGAAGAACAGGGTAAAAGGGGGCTAACAAAGTGAGCAGAGAAACAGATGAACTACAGCCTGTAATTTTAGAATTACGAAGTGCACATATATAGTAAGTGGAGCTGATAAAATGGACAATGAGGTGAAACAAGGAGGTGGTCATAATGTTATGCCTGATCGGTGTATACCGAACATTTAAAGACATGAAAAAAAAATGTCTGAACAATGTTTTCTTAACAACATGTACTGTATGTATTTTTGTTTTGCTACTACAGTCACTACTATGCAAAATGTGTAAAATGTTAAAAACAGCAAGTATGTTCAAAAATATTTAAACAAATGAGAAATGTACAATTCTAATCATGAAAGTTTGACATCAAATATCCATAAACGTAAAAGACTAAAGATAAAATATATAAAGTTCATTGAGCATGTCTTTGCATAGCGCTCTACCGTTCACTGGTGCAGCCACTGCACTCCTCTGCTCTTGTGTCATAGCCAACCACCAAGCCTCTGCTACACAGATCAGGGAAACACTTGGCCAGGTACATATACATCCCCTATAACATAATACAGAAAGTTATACACATGTAAAGTGTCTTCAGGATATTGTGTAAAGAGACTACTGCACATTGAAACTTTAAAGCTCTAAAAAAAAAGGTAGAAAATTTGCGCAGTATGGAATCTTGAGGACTGACCAGGTGAACCCCTGCTATAAAGACATTAGCAATCTAAATGAATTATGTATGAAGCAATGGTCTCAGATCCATTGTTGTGTTTTCACATCTCATCAAACCATCCAGTAACTGCTGTTATTCTCATAAATGGCAGGTGCACAAGGTAGTAATTTCAGAGGTGGTAATAACTGTAACTTTCTCAGAAAAGGTATGTGAATTTCTATTATTAGATTACGTAGTTTATTATAGGATTTGACAGATATGTGATTAAGTATTTATCATACTACAGAAGAGAAAAATGTGATAAAAGGTGGATGCAGTATTCTGTATTTCATAAATGCTTATGAAGGGCTCTGCATATCTAGCAGTATGTTAAGAAGTCTGTTGTACATACAAAACTGTAAATGAGGCCAAACCTGCGTTGACTGGATGACTGTGAGATCATTGACAAGGGAAAAGCCAGCCCCCATGGCTGCTCTCAGTCCAGCAGTTCCAAAAGTCATCCTGGAGCACAGCCTCCTCCTGAGTTCCTCAACCCGCCCTTCCTGCACCAGGCTTTTGATCTGCTCTCGGGTTGCTCCATTCTAAAACCACCACAAAACACAAACACAGCCCTTCTCACAAGGTTCTGGTAAAGCAACCTATTTTTAGGGATTTTTGTTGTGATGTCACAGAATCACTAAAATCCTTTACTTCCTTACTGCTAGCTGTTTCAGCAACACAGAGAATAACAGAAAAAGAAGATTCCCCTTTATTTATTCACAGGAGACACACTGATCTGCTCTTCTGTAAGATGAGTCAGCAGTGAGTCAGCAGTAATGGGAGTACTGCAAGTAGATTTGGTTCATAAGTAGCAAAATGCACAATGGATTTCACAAACACAAACTTTATACTGAATTTTGATTGCAGGTATTAGGTATCACACAGGAACAGAACACTGCAATCACATTAAATGCGAAAGGATATAAGGAAAGTTTGGACTGCAAATGCATCTGTAAAGAGGACAGATTTTTCAAAGTGTCTGCATTAGTCAATGGTCATTCAAAGTCATTCAGAGCGGTTTGCTGAGAAATGGTGAACTGTAGAGAAATGTACAGACTCGGTTTTCTTTACAGTGGTGGTGATAGGAACCAGAGGTCTCGATATCCACAACAAAAAGTTAGTAATTGTAATTGTCTTAATGACAAGCGAACCTAGTGTACCTAGAGTTTTATATGTGATGTTGATAAAGGCAAAATAGTGGCTGAATCTGAAATATTTCCTTATAATGCACTGCATGCACCTCTCTGCATGAATGGATTTTAAAAATATGTTTTAGGCCAAAAGCTCCTCAAAACTACTGAACAATAATGTCTCAGACATCAGGCAGGAAATTTGTAACAGCTGCATGTAATAGCTTTCTGTGAGGAAGCTTTTAGAGGCATTAAACACTTCAGATGTCTGGTTCCTATCAACATCTCTATGAACAATTTCTGAGTCTGTAAGTTACCCCAGAATGGAATATTTAAGCTCAAACCACTCTGAATGACTCAGATAACATCTTAACTGCCATTACGCTGGATTTCTCTTTGTTGGTTCTGTCCTATAACACTGTCCACAGAGCTCGCTTAAGCCTACTAAATACGAAAATTTAGCAAGCAGAAAACCAATCACCTCAATTATAACGCAAATTTAATACCATAATAGTACAGAGGGCTGGGCAATACAATGATACTTATTGTTATTGTGATAAAATACACTAAAATATGTCACAATATGCTTTTCTGAGGATACTGTTATAGCATTAAGATTTCTCAACTTCCAAACAACTTTTCTACTGCATGTATAAATACAGAGAGAGTACAATCTGACATATTTAATAAGATTCACTGCAGCACAGTAGGTAAAATCTTGAATACAGATAATTGTATTTATGCCTTCCATTCTGTTCTTAAATGTGGCACTACTTTATCTGTTCCAGCTTACCAGATGTCAGAAAAAATAAACATTGCAACACACTGCACATCACGAAAAACCTTACATCATGACCTTACAGTTTTGACATACACCTCTCCTAGTACAGCAGCGCTATCAGGTTAACAACCTAAATGGACAAGATAATCTGATGGGTATGATGTTTTGTAACTTTGTAAAAGTCTAAACTGTCAACTGTTCATAAACGTCTCGGGACAGATTCACCAAAAGGTTTCCAAAGAAAAATCTTACATAAAATGCAGCTACTTAATTTGCTTAGTCAACAGCAAAAGGGAGGAAATGACATTCAAACTGGCTCCAAAAACAGACATTGTGGAGTAAAATATTCTCCTGACAGGAAGCATCTGTATCTGTATTTTTTTGTGAACCATCTGACACAAACTGTACACGGCTCTTCCTTTAAACCTACTATGTCCTGAGAACTGATAATATATGTGTTCGTACTTGAAAAAAGCAGAACAAAGAACTTTAAAACATGCTGAGGCCTTCAAATTCACACACAGGCGTCTACAGGCATGCAGGAACAGTCAGCAGCCACTATTCTGCACAAAATAGAGTCCAGTAGTGGAGAAATAGCAACAATAAAATGGGGGTGATATCATACACTAAATTAGTGAGACTGACCTTTACAGTGGGGTTCATCCAGAACTTTGCCTGGGTTAGCGAAGCTACGCTACAGTTCAGCTGTGCAGATCATGTCCTAGACCTAACGGTTAGGTTAGCTGTTCCTTTTACACCGTTTCTGAGAAATAAGCAATGGGCTCTCAAGGAGCCCCAAGAAGGGTAAGAAATGTTCTCGCAGGTCAAAATATCCGTAAGATCCTCTTTTGAAGGGCTATCTGCCATAAAGTAACTCTAAATGTCACTCTAAAACAAACTGAGAAGGTCCAACGTCATATATTTCTCTAGCTAAGCTAAAGCAAACAGCTGCAGTGCTGACACCGACCCATTGAGCCAGGGCGCGTTTGAGGAGCGCCGTGCTGATTCGCCAACCGTCAAAACATTCACGTTACTCTCCAGAAATGCTGCTTTTAAAGGGAACTTGCAGTGCGTGAAAGAAGAAGTGGGGCTCACAGACTGCACAAGACATACAGTAACCCGGGTTAACTGGAAATTCTGCAAAAGGAGAACTTCAGAAATCAGAAATCACACTAACCTTATCCCAGGAGATCCACTGGCTGATGAGTTTGTCTAAAGTGGGATCTCCAGTGCTCAACACACAGTCGGTGTTAGCGTTGAGGTCCTCATTTGACCACATACTAGCTACAGATACAACGATACGCTGATATACGGTCTTCGTGATCACATACGCTCGGCTACAGCGTTACTTTACACGTTACTGGCTGATTCGGGGACACCAGGTGGGTTCAGCGACTTAAACCGGACAGGTAGCCAGGCACACATATCTCTCCAGCTTCTGCACCTCAGCTCAGCTAGCCGGAGAACAGCCGCCGCCTGGCAGCGCGAGATTCGGATAATATCGCGAGAGTTCAAAGATCCCACAGACTTTGCTAGAAATATCCAGTTCAAAGCGGTCTGTTTCTTTCTCTGCGCAGAATATCTGAAAATACATTTGTTTTCAAACAAAAAATTATTAGTTAAAACATTTACCTTTCATTTTTATATAGGCCTACACACTTAAAAATGATGAATTCTTCAAGGGTCCTTTAGTAAAGGAAATGGTTGTATTATAGAACCATTAACACTCAAAGAACCCTTTGCATGCTTAAAGGGTTCTTTGCATCGTGAAAGTGTTCTTCAGATTGATAGAGATACAAGCTTAATATCATAATAACAGAAGAAAAACCCTTTTATTATGAAAAGAACCCTTTAATCATGCAAAGGGTTCTTTGAGTGTTCTGTATAGAACCGTTTTCCTTACTAAAGAACCCTTGAAGAACTATAATTTTCAAGTGTGCTCAGTATGTTTGAATGCAGAAATGGTTCTACTTTCACTCGTTTAGTTTTGCCTCCATACTTCTATTTGTATCTGATGTTTTTTTTAATCTGACCTAGATTTTTCCATCTAAACTTTCATTTAAGTAGTTTTAGTACTTTTTCCACCCCAGATAAATACACAAAAATAAAAATGGTTTGATCACTACGAAGTCAACCTGCATGTAAATAGTTCTGGACATGCTTTAAATAAGCAGTGCCCAATCCTGCTCCTGAAGATCTACCACCCTGCAGAGTTTAGCTCAAACTCTGATCTAGCACACCTGATCCAGTTATTGAAGGCCTTCAGGAGCATCTGAACATTAGCGGCAGGTGTTCTGTGTCTGAACTGTCCTGGATGTGGATCTCCAGGACCAGGACTGGGCATCCCTGCTGCTACAGAACCATCTCGGGAAGTTATGGACACATCTATCTGAGAAACTGGCTTAAGTATCTGTCAGTCTACAGACGAGTTTGAATTTCAGCCATTCCAGTAAAGATTTGATTGTAAGAGTTCATGATAAACTCTCACTAAAGCTCATGACTGCCAAGTGATCTAATTTGTTCTGAAGAGCTAAAAAAAAATTGGTCATCATGTAAGATATAATGATAGTTTTACCAATTTGATCAATGGTATCAATAGACTACTGTTTGTATAATGATTGAATGCAAAAACAATTTTGCTTAACATTACTAAGGTGTACACTAAATCTGAAAAAAAAACAGACTTTGAAAATAACAAAACTTTATTACGGCTCTATCATCATTACATCACATTTTCTTTACAGAAAAAACACAACTGATTGAACATGTAGTAGTAGTACCCTGATAAAATGAAAACGACGAATAAAATACAGCCCTAATGACCTTGACAATGAAAACTTATATGTTTCCATACTTCAGATAGTGTGTGCAAGTTTCAAAGAACGGAGCACTAATGAATAAAGTAATATACAGGTAGCATACAAAGAAAAAACAAACAAAAAGCAAAAGAGACAATTGCAGAGCATTCTGGACAGACTTACCAATCTACAGTAAGATCTTACATCTACCTGATAATGTTCAAAATCCAGGAATGCATAAACATTTTGACATCAAGATCCACAGCAAAGATCTGATGCCCTATGTGCATATGTAACATCATTGTAATACTTATGTTAAAGCTTAGCATTCCCATAAAGCAATATTTAGTAGGTAATGCTCTTGTACCTGGCAGTAATAGGAACTAACTACTGATACACAACATTTAAAAGAAAACTGGTTGAGCTTTCATTTCCACATTTGCACCAATTTCCCAGAACTGCACAGCTCACAGTTGGTAAGTGGGTATGATATCCTCTTTCTCTTTGTGGCCTCATGGATCATGAAGTTGTAGTTCAGGCAATCAAAGGCTTTTAACAGTGAAACAAATACAAACAACTGAAAGCTTATAAACCACTCATGAAAATAAAAGATAATTCACAAGATTTCATTATGAGATTTTCCAGTGTTACTAAATATTTAACATAATAAGAAATGTACAGGGATGAAGTTGTAAAGAAGGTAAGATGCGCTGTGCTCATATTTGCTTCGGTTTGATTCCTAAACTACTTATGTCTGTGATACATTTGGCTTACTATGGTAAACAAAAGCCATGTTTTACATTAAAGCTGCCTGTATTAGAGTCATTCAAGAGAACATGGCACTATAAATCGTACAGATGATTACAAACATACCAGAAAACCATTGCTGACAGCAAGTCAGCTGTGCTTCATGTTTCATATGGACTTGGAAACCTTGATTGAAACCAGGTTGTTTATAATAACTAGATCTGTACATTCAAAACTCATAAAAAAAAGCAAAACTTCTGAAACTGTGCTTTTTGGTCCCAGTGAACCAACAAACACATAACCTGTAAAAATGCCACTTCAGACAGGTTCACCTGCATCATTATGGATATTATGGATGGTTTGGCCAGAAATCAACATCATGACAGTTTGATAAACAGAAATCATGATCATTAAAAATAGTGCTGGTTTAACAGCACAGTTTCAGTTTTCTGACTGTGAACATTTTGCATCAGTGAACAGATAAAAACACCCTGTAGTTTGCAGGTCACTACATTTCCATCATTAGAGCACTTTATAAAGCTAGTGCTTATAACACATTATACAAATTCGGTAACACTTCATAATAACAGGCCTTAATAAACAGCATCTTAATCATTGTTTAATAGTTTGTTACTGACTATTAATGTTTATATAATAGTTACACATCATCACTGTCATGCAAAAACCTTGTTTCTCCATTTTGGTAATTATTTATTTTTATGCACTATATGAGAACCACATTAGCTTTGCATGGTGTTAAAGGTTCATGAGAAAAAACAATGTGCTGCACAGGTACATCTTTCATTCATCAAGGTACAAACAATGTAAATGTACCCTCAAAGATGCAGCAGTGGTTTTAACGTCCAACTGTGTTCCTTAAAGATGTTTTCACAAGGCAAAGGTACATATTTGTACATAATGTAAATAACATAAACATAAAAAGCTGGAGTCAAGACCTGGTGTGCAAAGTCAAAACTTGAAAAAATGTAATTTCAATGAAATATTGTACAGTTATGTTCCTCAACTAAAGGTACATAAGACGTACCCTTGAGGGTACAACCCCCTGACAAGAGGAGGACCACCCTAGTGACAGTTTAGTACCTTTTTTCTGAGAATGTATGATGATGTATGATGATCTACTATGATGACAAACTGATGATAGTCATTCATTATAGTTAATCATTATGTTAATCATGATTTAGTGATTTGATACTCGGAAATTCATGATCATCTTGTACTTATTTACTATCTTGCTACTTTGTGATTCATAAACATTTCCTTACAGCTTAGTTAATCTTTACTAAGTCTGACTATTATATACTTTTTAAAACATTAATAATCATTAATTGTACCCCCCATAATTATTATAATTAGTTGCAACTTTACAGTGTATTTAAGAAGATATATGGTGCTATTTATAGATTTATTACTTATATAATTCAAACGTAATACAATTATGAAAAGATTACATTAAATATTGTATAAAATAATTTATGAAATAATGTATATTACATTGCATATAATTACTGTATGTCACTAAGTAAATAAATAAATTGGTAGCACTTATTAATGCACAAGATGCACAACAATTATATAATTATTATCAATCATTAACAAACTAGTAGCTAATGATTAAGCTGCTATTCGTAGGGTCTTGTTATTATAAAATGTTACCACAAAGTCATATTGTAATAAATATTAAAATGCATTACACAGTTTTCTATCAGTAATGAGACAGTTTCTCTTCTTTAAGCAGCAAAATACGAAAAGCAGACTACTGTATTAGGCTCACTGCATGGAGACCAGCTCTTAGATGAGTGAAACCCTGAAATATAAAGTATAAGCTCCTCTCTGACTTGTCCTAGTTAAAAGGATCCTACAGATAAGGAGAAAAGCCATGCCACACGCAAACAGTCACAATATTAGGGAAGAGGGAATGGCTAAGTCAACAGCTCCCACCCACCATTTGTATTACATAGCAGAACATAACACAAGATTTAAAAAAATAATCTACATTTAATTGTAAACATGAGTCCAGCTCTCTGACAAATGTTCAAACAAACTGGCACAAAAAAGTTCAACGTTACTATTTTCTCAGAAACTCGTCCTTGTTAGCGCAGCCCGTCCTGAGTTGTGATTTCTCTTCACCTGGGGGATGTTACATTGACCGTTCATGCAGATGTGAGACTAAAATGCAGTGTCCACATCTACGCTGTTGTATTTTTTTTCACTATGTAATGCACCAGAGCTTAGTGTCTGCAGTGTCATTTTCAGTTTAGGCCACCACAGTGGCAGTCCTGTCCTGTATGGGTGGTCCTTTATGCAGTTGGAAGGAAAGATAGCCCGCTCTGTTGTCCTCTATGCATGAGTCTTGCCAGTCTTCCCTTCACCATCTCCTCTGCCCGTCTACCGCTCAGCACTGATTTTGTAGCGGAGGACAAAGTAAGCAATAAGCCGCAAGGAGACAAAGAAGATGCCCAGCACAATGAAGTCCAGATACAGCTTTGCATTTTCAACATCCAGCTCTTTCAGGATGGCCTCTGACTTTTGGAAGTGACATGTTTCATCTTTGTCACAGTGCAGGTCCTCACGGTCCAGCCCGTAGATGGACAAGATAACTCCTTCAAAGCCGTACCTGAAAACCAAGAGACAGCTGCTTCACACAGATACAAACTCAGACATTAGATGTATGATTGCATTAACTGGCTGTACAATTACATAAGCCTTTCATCACAACTGACAGAAACCTGCGTAAACGTTTATAAAGGCTCCAACAAGTTTCAGTTATAATAAAGCTTTTGCCAATTTTTATGCAGATTGAAATGAGCCTTTCTGAATGTCTATATGTCTATAATGTCTATATGTCAGTTTGGGCGCCCTGGTCAAATGACATGTTTTGTTTATCTTCTAAGAGAAAATAAGTTCACACATCCGTATTTCTGCGCATTTTAATGTACAATTACTGTTTATTTTCTTAATTTAACATTTTGAGAGAAAAAAAAAAACATAAAATGTTGCCTGTGCAATAGTTATGGCACATTTTAGGTATACCTTTTCCAGTATGTTAAACTCAGCAAATAAATAGAAATTGTGCAGCAAAATTAACAGAAATTGCTATATTTAATGCATATTTAATGTTTTCTGTAGGACATTAGACATGTGATTTGACAATGGGTGTTCAAACTTTTGCACACAGCTGTATGCATTGTGTAGCTTTATGAATACTGCCCTTCAGTAAAGTGCTAACCAGATTTCTAATTATTCATTTAAACTATTCATTTAAAAAACTATTATTATGTATTTTTAGATAACAACCTCAGCTATTATCAGAATTGTTTTATAATCAAGGACTAACAAAAATATCTATTACCTGACATATGAAATGTATGATATCCACTGGAGGTACTTTGGGATGGTGTCAAAGCTGACAAAAAAGCCAGAAAAAAGCAGAACAGGAATTGCCGTCACTGGACCTACAAAAGTGGCCACCTAGAAAACAAAATATTACATTATCAGAAAAGCTACCCAGTCAAGCTAAAAACATGCCAGCATTAAAAAAAAAGAGCCTAATCGTTTTGACAATAGCATGAATAATTGATTAGATTATTATCAGTATTTCTGTACAATGCATTTAAACCTAGAATCACCTGCAAAGATGTAGATGCTGCTCCAATCAACAGGCCCAGAGACTGTGCCACCAGAGAGGTCAGAGTCCCCAAGGCCAGAAAGAGAATGAAACGAACAGCGTCTGATGGTTGAGAGGTCATCCAGTAAACGATGCTGCAGTAGGCCACTGGGAAATACTATCTATGAAGAAGAAAATGTAGGTCATTTTGTAATTGCACTCTGTTTTTTCAGTGAGCTGTACACCATTGCAGAAAGTCCAGCACTGTACTCCAATTTGAACTTTGACTTTACTAAAAATAATGCTTAGATTTTTTTTTCTTCAGTATTTCATGTTTTTAACTGCGCATTGTGATTTAAACAAATAAAACATATAAAAAATATTCATTAATTAAACTACTCACTAATAAACCATCTTAGCTTAAACTTTAGCTCAGACCTCAACTTGAAATCAAGCTTGCATTCTAGTGACTAAACTAAGACAATATAACAAAATGACAGCTAAAAATGACTTTTATAGCGGTGTGGACCATTAGTCATTATTGGTCTCAGAGAAGAGCTTTTCTAACAGGGAGCATGGCCTGCTTACGTAATGTTATTGTGGGATTTGGCTAAATTGGGAGAACCCTGCTCTGACCTGAGCTCTAAATCCCTTCTGAGCTTCTATAGCATGTTTGTGCCATCATAGCTTCAAATCTGTCCTTTCTGTTTTAACATGATTAATTAAAGTGAAAATCTAAGTGAAAATCTGATCTTTAACCTTTAAGTCTTGGACCTAGGAATTCCTAGTTTAGTCCCACTGTCTGGTCTTCATAAGGCATGTGCTTTCTATATGTTGGCCTGTCATGATTGTAACTGCCATATAAATAATTGTGATTAACAATTTAACTGTCTTTTTGGTTCGTTGTATGCAGCCATTAAAGTACAAGCCTGAAGTGGCCTATTTGGCTAATTAGCTGTCTTACCTTATAACTGTCCACATTTAGAACTGACAACAAACATATAAGAGCTCAAATAAACAAACATCACCCATCACTGCTCTCTAAAAGTGTTATAACATCAAGTCTAAAGACCCATGACGTGTCTCAGTAAATGAGTTTTCTGCTTTCTTTCATTTACATATGTGCCTCAACCTAACTGATGAAAATGCACCCAATTCACATTCTGTCTGTTGCAACATCAACTCGACTGACAAAGGTTAGAGTACCCAAGGCCAGGAACAGAATGATCAGCTGAAATAACTGCAATCAGGTGATTATGTAACAACTGTGACAGGCCTATCCATGCATAACAGGGGTTTTACCTGGAATGGGACATCAGCCATGGTCTTTGCCAGATAGTACGCCTTCAGACTATACCAGTAATTCAAATGTTCTCTCAAAAAGACACCCATTTCAAGAGGAACTAGAATAAAAAAGCAAAGTTCTTTTAATTAACAACCCAACAAGCATACAGTATTAAATTGAGACATATTGAGCTTGAGATGTAGGAGATATTAATATTTTAGAGAGGTTACTCATGCTACAGAGCTACACTCATGTTAGAGGCAGTAAAGATTATCAGGGCCCATCAAAACTCAGCTGAAAACATCATGTTTCTAGGCATAGTTATAAGCAGACAGAAAGATGAATAGATAGTTAGTAATTTAGTACACTCACAGGTGAGCACAGTGGGCATTAGAGCAGCAAACATGAGGAAGAGCATAGAGAAGAAAAGGAAACCAGAGTTGCTGAGGACTTTCTTGGCCTCGTTGCCGATGCCAAGGTACAGAAGTCCTATCAGGATCCCGATGCCAATATGAGAGGTGATACGCAGGTGGGTCAACACCTGTTTAAAAAAAAGAAGAGAATAATTATTATGATTTTTTGGCTATATATGTTAATGTGGACATGATTACTTTTTATTCAATTCAGTGTAGCACTTTTTCAGAGGATGTGAACACTGTATCTTCTCTTCACTGTTTTGTCTCATTGTCATACTTATTATTTGAATTATTTAAGTGTAGGCATCTCTGCACAGACAGGGACATAAGAGCAAGAAACTTTCTTCTTTCTGGCTCTACCAGGATTTCCCAAGCAAATACTAGTGAGAACAATTTTTATTTATTTGCTAAATTTAACATATTGGGAAAAAGTAAAACAAAATCTAAAATATTGTAAATTTTGCACGAGCCACATTTTATGCTTTGTTTGCTATATGCTATAATTTTTCAATTTTAGCAAGTAAACAGTAATTGTGCATTAAAATGAGCAGAAGTGTTTTCTCTGTAGACAATGTGAACTTATGTTCACTTAAAAGAAATCAACAAAACATGTAAACTAACCAGGGTTGCCCAAACTTTTGCATGCAGCTGTAGTTACCTGTCCTCACTGTCAACTGGTCAATGTCAATGTGCAAATATTGGGCCCAGGCGTCCATCTCACACTTCTATAGTTGGAGTATAAGCTAGCTAGTTTACATTATTTCCATGTAGTAAGTAACTGTGTTTGTTCCACAAGGATACTTAATGTTTTATTATACGTTATATTTATTTACTTGTAGCTGTGGGAATTTCACAATTATCCCTTGACCGTAATTGACCGCTTTCTGCATTAATTACATGCATTACTACACTTGTCCAGTGAGTGGCAGTGCTGCTTACCGAGTCCCTCATGATGCTGAGGAAGGTTCTCTTGAAGAGGATGCAGAACTGCGTCAGACAGCTGGCAGAGAAGCTGTGGCAGCCCTCAGTAGAAGAGGAATCCTACAGAGAATAAATGTCCTTCTTACAATGCTAATTAACAGTTAAACCTTCTGATAAGAGCCCTAACTGAGGCAGCCCGCATTAGCTCATACATCAAGCAATACCCCTTTCCAAATTTTACGGTGTTGCACAACAGAATTGAATTTTAAAAGAGAAAGCTTAAGAAAAATATTTGCATGGGGAATGATATGACACAAGCTAATGTTTATGCAACACAAGCTAAACATGCTTTGACCAGAAGTGGGAAGAGAGGTCTAAACCTGCACTCAAGTGAAAATATTGTCACTGAAATAATGACTGGAGTAAAAGGTAAAATAACTTTCTAGAAACAAACTTGAGTAGAAGTACGAAGACTAGTTTGTTAGGCTCCGTTTTTCTCTCTGGGACCCCTCTGCTCTAAAATAAAATGCTAAAGCTCCAATGCCAACAGTGTCACCAAACGCAAAGCAGTACAGGGGCTGTCACCAACGTAACACAGTGAAATTAAAAAAGGAATGATTAACTATATGTTAAGGTTTAAAATCACTAGGCCTGTCATGATCTTAACATTTTAGATGGGAATTGTTATATTTGTGAGTAACTATTTGTCTTCTGGTTAGTTGTGTAATTTTTGTTAATAACTATTTAAGTACAAGCAGAGGCTGAATTAGTGAAATAATAGCTGATTAGCTATCTTACTTCCTACTTTGTAGCTCTCAACTGTAGCTCTGTCTCAAAGACATAAACATCTACTCAAAAAAAATAAACATTACTCACTGCTGCCCTCTAAAGGTGTTTTAGCATCAGTCAGAAGTTGGAACTTTTTTTTTTTCTCATAAGACTCATAGTGTGTCTCAAAGGGTTTTCTGCTTTCTTTCATTTATGTATTTTTGCCTCAACCCAACAGATGAAAAAACACCCTATGCACATGATGAAAACTAACAACTCTGGAAATTAACAGCATTCAGACGATTCTGTAATAACTATGACAGTCACACAGAATAACAACATCTTATTCTACAATAGGCTACATAAAAGTGTATATAAGTGCCTTTAGAAAAGCTGTACCTCCTCAGATGGTCTATGCCACAGAAAAGGGTTCAGGGCTCCATCTGTATTCATCTCACTCTTGTAATCTTTCTCACACTTCCTTTCCTGAACAGCCTTCACCAGCCGAGCCATGTGGTCACCATATTCTCCAGAAGCCACCTCCATTACTGGGGGTAAAAGAAAAGTTCACATATACTAAACTCCAACTCTTCAGACAATGTACAACCCAAAAAAAGACTGACATTATTCACAGCATAAGGTTATTTGGTTACAAAGTCAAACTGAGTTTTGCAACCCAACACACTGAGAAAAACATCTATTTCTAGCATTTCCCAGATTTTGTTATGACTATGCATATCTGAACGTTCAGCAGCTGCACCTGCTGATGCACACTGGTTTCAGGCTTTTTTAGCAAAGAGGATGGTTTTCTTACTGAAGTCAGCAGGGTTGTGATACGTAGGGCAGTTGAGTCCATGTTCCCTCAGGTAAGGGATGAGGTTGGATACTTTTCCCCGGTAGATGCACTGACCTTGGCTCAGAACATAGAGCTGTGAAACCATAAAGAAAAAGCTGTCAAATTAAATGATTATTTTTTTCATATTTTAACATATCTATACTGTGTTCACTTCAGGAGGCCACAAAATGTCAGATTTGGCTCATATAATCCCTTGTGAAGAAACAGAATATGTCTCCTTAGAAATTAGCTGCAATTTGTATATATAGCACATGATGTTAGCATTAAGTTAGTATGTCAGGTTTATACGCCTTTGGGTTCTTTGGAAAAAGATGATCAACGAGGACATACAGAACTTTTCAGTGATTTGCTCTTTAAATTTTGTAAATATAAATGGGAAGAATATTTAAAGAACCTCCACATACTGTAAAGGTTCTATTCCAAACAAAGCTTTTTCCAAGAACCGTAAGCTCAAGCCAAGAACTATTTAGGAGCCTATATTTTAAGAGCATATAATGCTGAATTTACTTTGTCAAAGAGCTCAAAGACTTTGGCGCTGGGTTGGTGGATGGTGCAGATGACTGTCCGACCACCTTGTGCAAGAGCTTTCATCAGTGAGACCACCTGGAAACAGGACGAACTGTCCAGTCCACTGTAGGGGGAAACAAAATACAGCATTCCACTTTATATAAGCCTAACTTATCTATTAGTGCAGATAAAAGAGGAGATCATTTGTCAGCACCAATCTATTGCTTTCCCATTGGGATCAGTTCAAATACAATCTATGCCAATTACTGTATGTATACCATCAAAGCTTACAGGCTTAAAAGGTCTTCTCTGTGACAGAAGGAAGAATCATTACACAATAAACTTTACAAAAATGTAATGGCATTAAACAATGTGCAATAGAATCAGTGTAAATCAGCTATGACAGTCGTGTATTTCCCCTAAAGAACTGTAATCAATTGAAAAATGAATGTCATTTTTGACATAAGAAAAGATTTTCTAACAAGTGCAATCAATGCAAAAATGACTCTAGAGCTGTTTGAGCAGTCATGTCTGTGCTCCAGGCTGGGCCATCAAGGTGATGTCTGCTTAGCTTGCCAGCTGTAATCTGTCAGAGACGACAGAGACAATGGACAAATAAGGGGATGAAGTGTCCATCTTAATACCACTGGAGGACAGAGCAGGAATAAATGCACTAAGAAAGTCAATTGAGCCTTGAAGCCTTGACATTACAAATCACCACAGTGATATTAACACCTTTTAACATATGTTTTATCCATTGTAGTTTTATTTTATTTGTATAATTTGGAAATGGCAGCTACTGTTTACACTGTCTGACCATTTCACACTGACTAAAATGTTCCAGATTATCTGGAATACAGTAAATGCAGTCAGCCAAATTACATATTAACACACTGGAAAAACCATCAGCAAATTGAGCACTAAAATTTGCAGAAAAATGACATATGTAAGTGGGTTCTCTGTGGACAATGGGTCAAACTTTGGCATACCACTCTTCATTAAAGATAAAAGTGCTTTCTTTCTCTGATGAAGTTACTATTTCAGAGCAAGGTCTTCAGTGACAGTGAGGATATGCATATATGTTCTTTTGCGTGCTGTATGTTAAAATGGCTGAGTGCAGAGAGAGGGCAGTATTGTTTTAGTTCCAAGAGGTAATCTCTCGGGGGATATAACAGAAAGCCGAGGGGAGAAGCAAACCGATTGCCTAATAGGGTCCTGAGGGACCTCTGTCCCAAGACAGTTATCATACCCCTCACCACCCCCATTGGAAGCAGCCTAGTAGACCATAATTCAATTTCACTCCTCACTACAAGGACATGACAGAAAAACCTCATGGGCAATGAGTCTTGTTTTGCTTTTTTTCCGAGAGCTATATTTGGCACGAGAAGTGCGTGGTCTGCTTCACGAAGAGGTTGAAGTGATAATCCTTATGTCATTTGAGGGCATGTGTGTATGTGTGTGTTAACAGGCTCACCTTGTAGGCTCATCAAAAAACATGACGGGTGGGTTGTTGACAAGTTCCAAGGCAATGGCCAAGCGTTTCCTCTGGCCGCCAGAGAGGTTAGATGTGCGTGTTTTAGCACACTCCAATAAACCAAGTGCAGTCAAGATCTCCCTGACCTACAAAGACAGAGGCAGCCTTTATTAAAGCATTCGACTCTTTTCCAAAGCACATAGACTAGTTTAGGTTTTTTAACTATTCTACTGCATTCTGCTGCTTACTCCAGATTCCCATTCTGATTATTGGGTCTAAAATGGCTATAGCAGAAGTTTGATATGAATGAACTTAAGAAGGAATTGTTTTTCCATTTTTTGGTAATATAGTACTGTGCAAAAGTCAGATTGACCCCCATTGATATATTTAGTTTCCAGTCCAAACAGCCATGCAGTACAAGTTATTGATTATTCAGTGTCAGTAAAAGCAAGAAACATACATTCAACCAAAAATTGCACAGCTTCCAACACTAAGTTTATTCTGTCAATCTATCAATATGTAATTTTGTCCATTCTTTACTCTTGTGTACCCTACTGCCACTTTAACTCTTCCATCCTTCCAGTCTCATAACCAACCAGTTACTGCTGTGCTCTCTAACACGTTTCTCAACCATGGTCCTGGAGGCCCAATGCTCTGCATATTTAGTGTTTACCCTGCTCCTGAAACACTTGATCCAACGAATCAGCTCTTTAACAAGCCCCTGTTGAGCTGAAGTGGACATACTGAAGCAAAGAAAACACTAAAATGGGCAGGACAATGGGCCTACAGTACCAGGGTTGAGAAACACTGCTCTAACACCATCACTCAAACACTGTGTCAGAAAAACAGTGCTTAAGGCTTTTATCTTTAAGGGAGAGAGAAGAAAATCAAACTGCATTCTTGGTTCAGATCTGATTAAAATACACAGGTGTTCCTGTCCATCCTTCTACTGTGAGAAGACAACTCAATGCTATGAGTCTGAAAGGATGTGTAGCTGTCAAGAAGCTGTTACTGAGAAAAGAAAATCAATAAAAAAAAGCTAAAATTAGCACTAGAACACCCAAACTGGACATCTGAGGTGTGGAATTTGGGATGTTGAATGTGTTTGGGATTACTTGAATTTTGAAAAGCAGAAAATGCAACCAACTTCTAAGACTGAACTGAAGTGTGGAAAATTGTCCCTGCAGATTTCTTTGAAAAGCTGCAAGCAAGTCTCTTGAAAAGAATGTATGCTATGATAAGACAAAGTGGACACACTAAACACCGAATCAATTTTCATATTTAGTTGTTCTGTTTAAAATATGTTTCTGTTTGTTTTTTACTGATGAAAAATTAATATTTTGTACTTAAAGGCTGTTTTGACAAATGGCAGTTTCTGACTTTTGCACAGTACTGTAAGCCAGAAGCATGACATGCGAAGTGCGCTGGAAAGCAGAATATATCATTTAGTATCATTCAAGTTACAAATATTAGAATGTTAGATAATGTTATGTATCAAAATTATGAAGAATTTACTTCTAAACTGTTCACAACCAAATCAATATGTAGGCCATATCATATTATGCTATGATATGTAAGCTACATCATAACTATGTAAACTAATAACAATGTACAATAAAATATGCCTCCTCTCCCTATGTGTACTCTTTTGATCTGTCTATGGTGGTTAAACAGATTTCATCAAAATCTCTGTAACTCATTTATATTGATTAGCTCAGCAGCACAAGATAGACATTCATTTTTAAAGCAAATTTGGAAAATGGAAACGAAGGTCAGTCTTGCCAGATATTTGCAGGTGTTTTCACCATTTTGATGGGTCAAAGTGCCTGTAAATAGCCCAAACAAACATTTAAAGGCTAAGACTACACATAAACATGATGGTTCTTCAAGGGTTCTTTAGTACTGCTGTAGATGGTTCTATATAGAACCTTTTTGAAAAAGGTTCTATATAGCACATAAAAGAATTCTTCTTTTTTCACAATGCCAATCTCAATAGAAGAACCCTTTTTGGTACTATATGAATACCTTTTCAAAAAGGTTCTATATAGAACCATCTACAGCACATTCTCATTACGCAAAGAACCCTGGAAACATGCAAAGGGTTCTTTGGGTGTTCATGGCTTAATATAGAACCAATTTTTTTACTAAAGAACGCTTGAAGAACCAGCTTTTTAAGTGTGTACAGGACACTGACCCTTAATGATTGAATCTTTAATGTATTTTCACAGAAATCCTTAGTTCCTCCATTAAACATTGAATAACTTGCTTCACACTAATACAGTGCCCTCCACAAATATTGACACCCCTGGTTAACATGAGCAAAACAGGATGTAAAAATATTCTTTATTACTTATCCTTTTGATCTTTCATTATATATATTAATAAAAATTGTAACCTTTTGAAGTACACTGATTTAAAAAAAACTGAATCTTATCAGAAAATAAATATTTTTCTCAAATCTGGATGTGCCACAATTATTGGCACCCCTTCATTTAATACTTTGTGCAGCCTCCCTTTGCAAATATAACAGTCCTGTAATGCTGTAATTCTCCTGTAATGAGACTGAAGAACACAAGGCAAGTCATCTGAGACCATTCCTCCATACAGAACCTCTCCAGATCCTTCAGATTCTGAGGTCCACACTGTGGACTTTCCTCTTAAGCTCATCTCACAGGTTTTCTATGGGGGTTACATCTGGGAACTGGGGTGGCCATAGCAAAACCTTAATTCTGTGGTCAGTGAACCATTTTTATGTTGATTTTGAGGTGTGCTTTGGATTAATGTCTTGCTAGAAGATCCCATCCATAGCCCAGTTTAAGCTGATTTTATTTCTGCTGGTACTTGATGGAGTCTGTGATACCATGTATCTAAATAAATTGTCCAGGGCCTTTGGAAGAAAAACAGCCCCGAAACATCACCAATCCACCACCATACTTCACAGTGGGGATGAGGTACTTCTTTGCATGACTGTCTTTGTGTCCATGACAAACTCTCTTCTGGTGTTTGTTGCCAAAAACCTCTATTTTGGTCTCATCTGCCCACAGAACACCGTCCCACTCAACGTGCCAGTAATGCTTGGCAAACTGTAGGAGCCTGAGTTTGTTTGTTCTTTACAGCATAGGCTTTCTTCTGGCAAACCCCGACCCCAAACAACTTGCGGTTTGATTGTAGTTTGGGAGACATTCTGACCCCAAGAGCTAAATAATGTCTGCAGTTCCACATCTGTAATCCTTGGAGATTCTTTGTCCACTCAAACCGTCCTCTCCACTGTGTGTGAGGACAGTATAGACATACATCCTCTTTCCGGCAGATTCTTAACATTTCCAGTTGTTTTAAACTGCTTAATTATTGCCCTGATATTGGAAATGGGCAGTTTTTAACTGTTCAGCTATTTTCTTGTAGCCATTTCCTAATTTGTGAAGCTCAGCAACCTTTTGTCACACATCACTGCTGTTTTCTGTGGTCTTTTTCATAGTGATGCATGACTGAGAGAATAAGGCCTGTGTTTCATCTCATACATATTCTCCAGTTAAAACAGGAAGTCATGGTTGCCTATTTAAGTGTTCCTACATGCTCAGGTGAACCTAAAAACATAAAATATCACTCTTAAAAAATTCTAGGGTTGCAAATAATTGTGGCACACATAGATTTAAGAAAAATACTGTTTCATCACAAGAGGTTTTTCTTTGTATCATTATGGCTTAAAATACTTAGATTTTTGCTAATATTTTGAATGAAAGATCCAAAACAATAATAATTAAGAATATTTTTGACAGCACATTTTGCTCATGATTACCAGGGATGCCAACATTTGTAAAGGGTACTGTGTATACTAATCAATAACTCAATGTCCAGCTAACAATATTGCCTCAAGCAGAACCACATGGAGAACCACACTAATCTACTCCTCTGTTCAGAAAAAAAACAAGCATATTTCATTTAAAATGCCTTGTTTTTTTCCAGACTGCATCTTGCATAATCCACCAGAAACCGATGATGTAATAACAAAACCAGTTGCTGTACTTCCTACAGCTGCACCTTATGTTAAAAACTGCACGTATATCGTGAGTGAAGAAGTTCACACGGTTCTCTCTTACCATCTCTCTCCTGCCCTCCTCCTTTTCCTGGAGTTTGAGATTAGCCGACACCTGAGGAGGTTAAAGGGGGGATTTAGACTGTGTGCACCAAGCATTAACAAGTAGAATTAAAGGTAACAACAGGATTTGCATGCTCTTATGGTCAACAACTAAGATAACAAGTAAGGTACTACAAATAAAACTGCTAAGAGAGCTACTTATGACCCATTTACAGTGTTGTAGGTAATTAATGATATAATATATATATATAGCCATGATATATATGGTTATCTGTGAAAATCTTCTGAGAATGTAATGATGAGGAGAGGCTGATCATTCATCCCTTGATCATGTGCTGTAAGAATATGGTTTATTCCCTTATGTTTCCTTCAGGCACTGATGGCTGAGTTTCAGCTACATGAGCTTCCTGAAGGAGCTGTTTAAAAACACTGATGTTGAATTAGCTCATTACCATCATGGCCTCCTGCACTGTGAGGTGAGGCAGAAGCATGTCATCTTGCATAATATAGCAAGACACTTTCCTGAAGGAGCGTAGATCTCGGGGCTGGCCGTTTATTAATATTTCTCCTTTCATTCCTGTTTCCCTGCAAGATAATTGCACACATTTTAAAATATGTATTTGAAAGTGAACATATATGAATTGGGGTGTCTTCTGAAGGTGTTTTCTGGCACTAAATCAAAATGTGTTTTATAAAACTCTGGTCCTCAGTGAGGACTGAAAGCAGGTTCATTTTGCTATTTTCTATTCTAGATTCAAATTGTACTGTACATATTGTATTGTACTGTGCAAAGTAATGTATTGTATGGAGTTGTAATTTATTTCCAATAAATTTTACAGTTGAAGGGCATTTGATGAATGCCATAAGAAGGTATATAAAAAGTTTGCTGGGTGACATAACAACACTATTGTGACAGTTTGCTCACATACATACAACTGTTCAAGATATACAGTACTGTGCAAAGGCAGAGACCACCCTTCATTTAATAAATTGCAAGTCAAAATGGCCTTTGAGTACAAATTTTTCATTTTTTAAATTATATTTCTGAGGAAATTAGATATAAGATAATCCACTTGCATAAGCAAGGCAAAGTCAAAAGAAAACGTGAAAAAACAGGAGTTTCCAAAACTGGTGTTTAAAAATTATCAAAGGGTAAGACAAATGGGATTTCTTACAACCGTGCAAGACCTGGCAGACCACCAAAATTGGTAGTCTCAGATAAACAGTACTTAAAGCTTTCATCTGTAAGAGAGAGGAGAAAATCAAACTCCACTCTTGTTTCAGATCTGAAAAGCTCCACAGGGGTTTCAGTCCATCCTTCCACTGTGAGAAGACAACTCAACACTTTAAGTCTGAAAGGATGTGTATGGACTGACTACTCCAGAGCCCGTGGGAAGCACAGAAAGCAAACCAACTTCTAAGACTGAACTTTGGAGATGTGGAAAAATATCTCTTTCTTTGAAAAGCTATGAGCAAGTTCCTTCAAAAGAGTGGAAGCTCTTATAAAGGTGGGCACATTAAATACTGAAAAAATCATATATAGTTATTGAGGCTTCTGTATGAATTTCTGTTTAATATGTTTTCTGACACTGAAAAATGTCAGAAAATGTCAGAAAAAAAATTGTAGTGGACGCTTTGACTGAAAAGTAAATAAACGAAGTGTGGTGCTGTATATATATATATATATATATATATATATATATATATATATATATATATAGACATTGCAGATATTGTATGTCATTAGTTATGTGTGTATGAGTGATGGGGCTTGGTAGTCACCTATATCCTGCTAGAATATTCATAAGCGTAGATTTCCCGGCTCCTGAGGGCCCCATGATGGCCACCAGTCCTCCACTGGTAAAGTTCCCGGAGATTCCTTTCAGCAGTGTCTTGTAACCTAAGTCAGAGGGGAACAGAGGCAGAGGGGTTTCTGTGAGAAACTCTCTAAAGTCTTCACAGCGGACATTTCTCTGCCCAAGTCACACCATACCCCTGCATAAAACCAATCCCTTCAGCACCTTCCCTTCACATAAAAGCTGCTTTGTGATTGGGGTGAAAGAAGGTATTTGTTATACACCTCTTTGTTTCTGGAATTTTGTGCATGAATGCTCCTGTTTACCTTTGTGTGTATTACAGAAGAAACCTCATTCTCACCTCCAACTGACCTGTCCTCAAACAACAGTCTTATAACCTATGCTTTTTTCAGCTGTACCTATCCACTTTCTTTTGTCCAATCACACAATGCATTCTTGATCAAATTAAACCAAGGCTTTGTGTGATCAGTCTGTTTGTGAGGACCTTTCTGTGGTGTGTTCATGGGCAAGGATTAAGCTATTCCTCAAGCTGAAGAGTAACACATTTTATAAGGGATGTCACAATTACTCAATTAAATGTTATCTTCTCTTAGACAATAATGCTTGGCTGAAGAAAAACAATAATGCTTAATTAAAGAATACAGAGCAATAAAATCTGAGACACAGCTTCAACACAGAATCTCTCCAGATTCTCCAGGGTTCTAGGCCCTCTCAAGAATCAAAATTCAAGACAAGGTTATTCTTCTCTTCAGCCCTCCGTACAGGTTAGATTAAAGGATGGGGTGGCCTTTTGAAAGTCTTGATTTTGAGGTCACTGAACTATTTTTGTGCGAATTCCTATGTATGTTTTGAAAAGCACTGTCCTGCCACAACCTGACTGCAGCTTCTTGGCAGAGGCACTCTGATACATTAAAAATGATCTGGTACTTCATGGAGTTCATGATGCCATCCTAGGAATGTTCCCAAGGACTTGCTGGCATGAAGGTGGGTTCTAATCTCAGTTTTTGGGGGTTGGTGACCACAAAATACAACCGTCAACTGCAACAGTGATCCTTGGAGAGATTTTTGCATCTCTAATCATGTTCCTCACTGTGCACTGTGCACCTTCTTCCAGGCAGGTTGACTAAAGCTGTAGTTGTGAGCTTGTGGATGTGTCACATTGAACTCATACACCAGCGAAATAAGAAGGTACTTATAAGGGCTTTTTGTTCAGTTACTGTTCAATTAAATTAATTTTTTTTGGTTACCCTTGTAATAAAATGGTTGCTCAATTAATCATCAAAATAATAATCTTAATATATGGACGACTACAAAATACAGATCAAATAATAACAAACATCTGCAGAAACTGTGGCAGGGCTGGGAGAGATATGTCCGATGGTAACCTGCTATTTATCTAATGGCTGAAGCTGAAATGCTAATCCAGTTGATTGCAGTGGCTGCCAGCTTAATTGGATTTGCGGTCACAATCCGTCAGTGCGATACACAAATATCTCCGACCTTCCCTGTCCTCTTTTAGTGCTGGATCCCAGCGTCCCTCTCAGAGAGAGTGCAGGGACTCTTTTAGCTTCACTCCCACACACAAGAAACTATGATAGGACTAAAATAGGCGAGTGAAGCTAGAGGGGAATCCCACACCTGATTCACCGCAAATACAGACAGCATGGCTCATTCATTCTATACAAGCCTCATGTATCAAATAAACAGTGGTGAGAGCTGGGCTTTCTGAGGCAGCAGTTCACAGGAGTTTCACTCTTGGAGTTGCCGAAAGGGTTTTCCTCAGAAGAACCACTTTTGGGTCCTTAAAGAACTTTTTAATTCATGGTACTTTAGTGAACTATTTCTGTAAATGAGATGTGTGGATATGAAGAAGCTTTTTAAAGTTTAAAGACTCTCAACATAATGTAGAGGTGCTATACCAGTTAAAGGCTTTTATTAGAACTGTACAGCCAAGACAAGAACCTTTGGGATCCTTTATTTTTTAAAGTGTGCTTTAAGGTGCAATGAAACGCAGGTCACTACTTACTAATGTATTAGTCTGGGACAAATGTTCCATTATTTTGGCATGATTCTATTTCACTAAAAGAGAAAATAATCAGGTCAGTGTTCCTCTTCTTTTTAGGGATGATTTGAGTTTTGTTCTGAGTTTTGGCTCCATCATTTGAATGGCTAAAAAAACATTTCTACAGAATTAAAATGAACACAGGTTGGACCGGTATTCAAATAATTGCAGCCTTCTTAAACGTCTTTGTCTTACACAGCTGTTAGTGGCACGTTGCCTGTGTACTAACAGTGGATTAAGAATCCAACATCATGCACACAATCCTGCCATATGCAATGCCGGGTCATCAAATATTCCATCTTCTTTAGATCCTTTGTAACCACTTGTGCACTTGAATGATCAATTGAAATGACTAGGCATGTCAGTATGGATACAGTTTGGCATGTTTAGGATATAAAGTCATACTTTAATACTTTCCTAGTAACATAGCCCTTGCAGTAAGGTAATGAATATAACTGAATACAACTTCAAAATACGACCTTTCTTTTCCAATACTGATGCCAATATAAAATTCCTGAGTACTGCCCAATACTGATACCAATCTGATATTACGCTTTAAAATGAGTGCAATTTCCTTTGGAAGAAGTTCACATAAAATGAGCATCTAAAAGTAGGCTATCATGCCGAACCTACTCAAACACTCCACCAGCCCACAGGCAGGTAGCAATGCCACATCATTCATTACAGAATCAGATTTTTTCCCCTCCAATATCTGATCTAGCATTGTCTGCTGATACTTGTTATTGATACCTGGTATCAGATCTCTAAATATGAATTTATTTGGTTATTATTGTTATTATTATGTTATTTCAAGACTGTCAAAATCAATTATATTATATTATATTATACCAAGTATTCTACCAAGTATTCTACCAATTATTCTACCAATCATTTTGACAGTTTTTTTACAAGTAGTCAGAACAACCTCAAAAACATTACAGAATTGTTTGTTTGAGAAAAAGACAAACCAGGAAGCCTTTAAAAATTTAAAAACATGTTTTGATGATTTTCTATGAGATAATAAGTTAACACATCCACTGCAGAGAACACACTTCTGCACATTTTAATGCAAAATTATTGTTTATTTGCTGAATTGCTAAGACACAATTTATTTGTTGTATGTTTTCCCAATATATGAAACTCAGCAAATAACCAGTAATTGTGCACTATAATTGGCAGAAAAACTGCAATATAAGTTTCCTTTCTTTTGTGTTTCAACCAAACATGTAATTTGACTGCGGGTGTTCAAACTTTTGCATACAATTGCATATATCCAATATGTAATATTTTTTCATCTGCATATCTGCTGATGCTGATACATAAACATTTATTAAATGTAGAAATTAGGACTAAATCCACCTGGATTAACATTACGGAGGAATATTACAAGTTACAAATGCAGTAAAATGAATACAATGCAGATGTTTTAGCACAGTAGACCAGCATCGCCTAAACATTCTGCTCTTCTGGAGTTCAATAAACGCGTTATGAAATATTGGTTTAAAATATCAGCCAAATCTAGCGGGTTGAAACCCTAACATCTTTCCATTTTTAAGGAAATATCTGCAGAGTATCTTAATTTCCTGTGGTTACACAGTATGTCATACTCATGCGACCAGCATGTCTGAGTGTATATGTTTTTTGTCTATGACAGAGTTGAAGAGAGAGAGAAAGATAGAGAATGAAAGATGGAGAGAGAGAGTTCAGGCAGGCCGCAGCAGCACGTGTCACGGCACAGCGACAGCTGCTGTAGCTAAAGCACAGAAGGACTGTAGTACATGTGCGTTGTGGTCAACAGAGGATCAGAGGCTCCTCTCACTCCTGAGAGAGGCTTGTGTTTTGGGAGGGAGGAGTTGGGGGGGCAGTCACTGCTGGCCCAGGACCAGCCGTTTTAAAGCCAGCCCAGACTAAAGCAGATAGAGGAGAATATCCTGAGCTGTTCAGAGATCAGTGGTAAACCTCTTCCAGGATGAAGATGCCAAGAATGTTATGTGGCCAAGGAGTTATTCTGTTGCGAGTCATCCCTACTTTGACTGAAAATTCTGATCAGATTATGCAAGACCCTGGAAAAAAACACAGTGTTTCATAATATACAGGGGTCTGCTTGATAATTCCTGAGGGCCTAAGCGAGGATAGACTACATTTATAATCAGAGGAGCATATATACAGACATGTGACAAAGTAAAAGAAAAATTAGTAAGTTGTAGAAACGCAATAGTAGTAGAGTAGAGATGATTCCAGACAGGTGTACTGCATGATTCAATTAAGCAATTAACATCCCACCATGCTCTGTGGCATGTCTGAAAATAGATTAGATTAAATCAGATTAAATTCAACTTTACTGTCATTGTGCAGAGTGCAGGTACAGAGCCAATGAAATGCAGTAATGCAGTAAATATAGAGGAAAAGAGGAAAACAACTGAGTTAAAAAGAGAGTACTTTATAAGGGGATGGATGACAGGAGCTTCATCCTTTACTATATTCTAAACAAGTGGGTGAGTGCATGTGTTATGTACTCCAAGAGAACAGTACACGGAGGAACGCTCGACCCCTATAGTGAGGGGGTCCGGTGGCTATGTTATACTGTGGGGGCATTTTGCTGGCATATTTTGGGAAAACAATAAGTTATAAATTAGTGCCATACCGCTTTTCAGTCATTTTAGAATCATCTACTATTATATTCCTATTTCACTATTCATAAGCTTTGTTAATACTAATTATCTAAAACCCATGAAGTTGCATAGGACTAACATTTTATAATTATTTTATACATCCATCTGCAGTCATATTAGTTTCATATTATTGAAAACATTGATTCTATTTCGAACAGTAGTGTCTATGATGTACCATCAGACAACCACAAACATTATGTTAACAACAGAGAATTCATATTTTCTAACAATAGGCCTTGTGTCTTCATTTCTGCCCCACCTGAGGCGTCCTCCAAAGGTTCACAATGTTCTTCTGCACTGGAGAATGACCTTTCCTCGGCTTAAGAAATGCCCAATGCCCACAGGCCCA